AGAGTACCCTTAGTAGTAATGCAACACATTTAGAGATTGTGAGAAATAAAGATTCCAGCCATTTAGTTTTTTGGAATGGAACTGATCTACTGTAAATCTTTGTTAGCTGCTTTACCTCTTCAATTCTCAACAGCTCAAGGTTGACTCAGCCTTCCATCCTTCTGAGGTCGGTAAAATGAGACTCAGATTGTTGGGGGCAATATGCTGACTCTGTAAACCACTTAAAGAGGGCTGTAAAGCACTATGACGTGGTATATAAGTCTAATTGTTACTGCCATTGCTATTTTAACATCTCATTCAATTCACAAATGCCTCATTTTATATATGTGCTACTCACTCTTACTAAGAGTAACTCCAGACTTCCACTTTTGAGGAAAATCATTGAAGAAATTATTTGACTTGATTTTTAACTTTCCAGACTCAAGCTGAGACTGCTGAAGTTCTAGCTAGCAATACCTAATTGCATCAGCTCATAGGAAACCTTTATGGCTGCCTGAGTCAAAGCAGCATAAGAACAGTTCTGAGACGGAGCGTAAATAATTACAGGATGGGTGGAGTGACCAAAGCAGACTCCAAAAACATAAGAAAACTATCATTTGGAAGAATGTGTGACATACACCATTAATTTTGGTGGCAGCACAATAGGGCAGAGAACAGGTGATAGCTTTTGTAAAGAAATAGGCACCATTCAATTTTCTAAATTCATCCAAATTTATACAACCCAGTCTGATGTGACAACTTGAAGTGCACAGGTTTTTCCTTTTCTGATTTTCTCAACAGTAGAGTGTCATCATATTGTCTCTGGCAGGTATGTCTTCAAGAAAAATCCAAAAAGATTGACAAACAGTCATAGCTTCATGTTTAAATACAGCATAAATCAGGATTTTCTCTAGATACGATTTCGGCATATGCCATTATGTCTGGGCTCACATATTTGCCTAACCATAAAACAGATCGAAACAACACTGAATTTAATGACTAGATATAAACATTATACAATGTTTCAATATGTTCATTTAATTCTGATTTGTTAGCAAGTTGTGGAACTCGATACTATGACTTTAAGATTTATGCCTTACTATATTATACTATCTATAAATTATGGGTTTATTCAGTAATGCTTAATACATGACTTTAATGCAATATATGACTCCAATTAATGAAATTTCTTTAAATAGAGGAGTGCACTATAAATATCTGTTTGGAAGCAAAACATTTGGGATGTTCTATCTTCTATGCTTGAATAATACATAGATCACTATGCATAATTAGAGTGTAAATTTCATGACTTTTCTTATCCAAAAGGCTTCCCTTGTGATAATTATGCTAGGTAGAAAGCTGCCAGGAAATTACATAATTCAGGTTTGTAGTAATATGATTCATTATAATTAATTTACATTAGTGTAAACGAGCCCACTCATTTTGGGCACGGAGCCCTTGGCATGACACAAGCACTCCAGTCTATGTCCACAAGACAAGAGATCCCCAAGGCACAAGGATCCACTAAGTTAATGAGTGATACTCTTGATCATTTCTTTTTCACTATCTTCAACCAGAGATTCGATACACAATGCCAATAGCCTTTCTGTTTACATAAGTAACAATTAATCTCAGTAAGCCAACAAAACACAGAGATTGCAAGAATTACAGTATTTCCTTGCTTAAAACTTCTATCTGACATAAAGAAAGATATGCTTGCATTACAAAACCAACAAGTTCCAATTTCTGCATGACAACTCCTGTATAGGTAGGTCCTTTGTGTGAATTACATTCCTAACATGTTCAGAATACCCTTCAGTCATCTCTGTGATTCATTCTTAGTGCAGACAACCAGCTTTTCCTGTTCTGCTGATTGATCTTTGTATAGATTGTGTGTCACATGCTATAAAAATTTAGGAGGCTCACCTTCTCTTGTCACCGTGGCAACTGACCTCAGCTATCAAGAACTCTCCAGTTATGCCAATAGGTGGCCTTTGATCTCATAATCTTTTCAAAGTCAGGTTACCATCTTGCCATCCTGCACAGAACTTGAGTAAACATGAATATGAGCTCAAGGGGCAGCCATCCCCACCCTGGTACCCTCCAGTTGACTTAAGTACAACTCCTATCAGCTCTGACTGAATGCCTGGGCATTTTACAGCCCCCTAGGCCACATCCAGCTCTTTGGCTGTCCCTGTCTTGCCTGCGTGGGGTCAATCAGAAATTAGAAACCAATGTAAATAAGATGTAGCATGTATTCTTATCAGTAGCAGCTAATCAAAACCATACAATTAACTGCTTTTTATAAAGTGATAAAATTTCCTGCCTGAGCAGGGGGTTGGACTCGATGACCTCCAAGGTCCCTTCTAACTTTATCATCATCATCATCATCATCATCATCATCATCATCATCATCATCATTAGGTAGAATTATGTTCAGCCAATTGGTCAGACCCTCCAGAACAGTCTCAGTTTATCATGTGGCCCCTTGGGAAAATTAATTGCCCACCCCTGCCATAGCCCAACCCTCCTCACATTGAGGGGAGTGTTTATTTTTGAATATTTATCTGCAACAGCTTCATACAGTAAGAAAAAAAAGCCTGCAACAGGTTTTTATTGTTTGTGTCATATTGTACAATAAAAGAGCTTGTTGTGATCATACCTGCCTTGTATAAAATAATAAGCTGTAAACTATGGTTTACATGCCACAATTACAGGTTTCTCACAGTTACTAAGCCAGACATGTCAAACACAAGGCTCGGGGGCTGGATGCGGCCCGTGAAGTGGTTTCATGTGGCCCGCGAGGCCATCCTGGAAATAGTGAGGGAACGGCCCCCGCTCCCTTAGCCCTGGCCCAGGCTGGCCAGGAGCCAATGTACAATTTTAGCCATCTATGCTGAAACACATTCAGTCTTAGCTCCACAAGGCCGTCTATAAACAGCGAGGAACCAGCCCCTGCCGCGTTGGTCCCGCCCCCTGGGTGCATGTTGGGGAGGTATCACCCTTTGTGAGGAATGAAGAAATGGATCATGTCTTGGCGCTTGCCCTGTCACATCCCCTTCTGCCAGAGACTCTCAGATCTGTCCCACTCCTGCCCAGGCCTCCACAGGCACCCTTGACGCGAACGATGTAGAGCTGGCCATGCCCACCTAGTAGGCCACACCCACTCCATCCACGCCCACCCAGTATGCCGCACCCACCCTGGCCACACCCACCCAGCCCCCCAAGGGCAACCGCAATGCTGATGCGGCCCTCAATGAAATTGAGTTTGACACCACTGTACTAAGCCCATCAAATAAAATGCATTATGGTTAAGACTTGATAAGGTTTGAGAAGCTCCAGGCACTGAAAAACATTTCAAACTGAGTTACTGTAGCTTTCTTTTTGTTCACCTTCAAGTATAGGATTTGATGCTAGTCTAATATGATTAGGACTTGTATGATAACACCAAACCTATAATAATTGCTCTCCCAGTCTTCGAAGACTTTATTATTCTTTGCAAGTTTATTGCCTTAAAAATTGGATCAGAAATTAGTTTTGATAGGGGCTCTGTTGTCCCTGCAGCAGAGGAATCTCTAATGATCCAGCCAAGAAAGAAGTACAGTTATTCTACTTTCTCAATAGCTATTAATCAACTGACCTGTCTGAAGCCTGTCACTCACAATGCACCTTGTCACTCACTCTTTTTAACTAGACGAACTATTAGACCAGAGACTTGGGCAGTACGTCTCTCATCCACTGGCTTGCCTTGTCTCCTTTCTAAACTATGAATTTTATTTTAATGATCTGGGTTGGCCAATCCTCTCCTTTTATTCACCCAGCAAGGATGAATTCCACCCTGAATAAGATAAATTTGCCAACTGACCATGTCTTCTCCTGAAAAAGCCAATAATGGAGAATTAATACATAGAAAGCTATTATCAAAACTTTCATGACACAGAGCTCAAGCATTAATATCTACCAAATGCAGCACTGCAATAGGTTAAAGCTCAAGTCCAAAGATAGGAATTCCTGCAAATACATGGTCTTTGTTTACTGCTTCCAATTGCAGCTTCCCATTGGGGACAACGTAAAATACCCATGCAATCTTTTAGAACCAGATTCATGTTTGGCAGAATTATCAAAATTTAGTTTGTCCCAGAGACAATTCTGAGAGCACTAAGGCCCTCACATTCAACTTTGAGCTACAAATATTATCTTCCCTTGGTACAAATTTAGTTCCCTAACTTCTATATGAGAACTAGTTTGGTAGTTAAGGCAACAGTGTAGGCATCAGGAGACCATGCGTTCTTGTCCTGATTCGGTATGAAGCCAGTTGAGTGGCACTGGGCCTGTCACTCTTTCTCAGCCCAGGAAGGGGGCAATGGTAAACCACTTCCAAAAAAGCCTTGTCAAGAAAACTGTAGGGACTACCTCAGACAATTGCTAGGCGTTAAAAACTGACGGGAAGGCAGAGACACAGTCCCCAAATCCTTCTTTATAGCTCCAGACCAGGAAATTCAGCAAATGATGGTCAGATTATCAAAACAAAGGAATGGACAAGTTCACTGCAATCCAAAAGTTTGGCTTCATTGCTCATGTGGCCGTGAAACTGAACAGAATCAGAAGCTGCAAGTTCAAAGAAGATACTTCCCTTCCTATTTTATCTTTTCACAGTGTGCTATTCCTCATCTACCTCAATCCTTTTATTTCTTTTGGTTTCCAGGTTTCCTATGAACAATTTAATTGGAGCGATTTTAGACTTTGTAAAAGCCACTGGACTTAGTTTAATTGAACCAGACCAGACCGAGTTCCCAAATTACACTAAATCAAAATATGATTTGCTTGACTTGGGCTTGACTTGCATAAACTCAACTATTATGGGTTGTAAACCAGGATTGTGGTTTAGCACATGTGAGACCAGCCAACTGTGGTTTACACTGCAAACTAAAGTATATATCAGATCTGGTATACTTAAGAAAACCTATCAAACTTGGACAGAAGATATTGACAACCTCAAATGCTCATTAGAACTGCTTTCCTTTGTTTGGGCTCTGACAAGTTTCTCTGGTTTAGCAAATGTTCTCCAGAAGAGAAGCTGCTGGATGCCCTAGAAGTCTTATACATGTTATGGCTTGTGGTAATAAGAGAGCTGTTCATAACATGAATCTACTGTATTTGTTTCTGTTGTGGGAACAACATTCCTTTTTCAACCTTCAGGAATAATAACTGGATAAAGTCTGAAGCCCTGATGCATTTCAAATAAACACTGCAAGCCCAGTGATAAGATAGCACCACTTGCTATTGGTTCTGTAGCTTTGCCACAATTGTGCTTATTGTGCTTGTCTCTGGGCAAATATCTCAGGGCACCAATAAAGCAGCCGGCATTGGTGATACCCAAACAAGTTTTACAGCTGTAAATACAAATTCCATATGCTACAAAGGGGGCAAGGAGAAGGGCCAGCAAGCTATCCATCTTCTTATTACATCATTTAAGGTCCATTTAATTCTAGTGTCAAACCTGCAATCACTATCCTATTCTGTGCTGGTTATGATTTGAACAATATCTGAAAGGAGTCCAAATTGTGCTTATTGTTTTACAATAATGCCCAGGCACTAGACATAATATATATGTAGATTTTAGTTAGTGCTAGTGTTTTCTTTTTTCATCACTTGTTCTGCCTTTCTTCTTATTTCAGAATATCCACCAAACAAGGGGGGGGGGATTATTTATTTATTACTGAATAAGCCACTGTTGGCAAGATTCACACAGCTCTCAAAAATCAAAAGAGCAGAATTATGGTTTGGTGCTAAGGACCAATTTCTTTGTAAGTGTGGGTAAAAATATGTGTGGTTTGTCCCTGGAAAAGTAGACGTTTTCCATCTTTTCATCAGTGCTACCTACTTTTTATCTCAGGGTCAGAAAAAATGAGACCATCAACGTTCCTTGACCTGACGTGCTTGTAGGTCAGACATTTTCAGGTCAATTTAAGAGTACTTGTAGTGATTCTTAACCCTGTTTGAAAATAAGCTTAGCTTTAGGCCTGTTGCTCCATGTTGTGATCAGAATTACAGATACATAATATCAGAAAAATGGGTGGATTGACCACTGAAGGGGAAGAAAGATAAAATGAAGGAAACAATATTGTTCACATAGTTTTGTTGCTCAGTTGGTGGAACAGGGTGAGAAGCCCTGAGAAGCACTACCAGCAATGTAGTTTGATCCCTGATAGTTTACTGTAAGTTCACTGCTAGTTTGCAAGCTTGCACTGCTCTGAATGATGGACTAGGAGCCTTCTGTTGGGAGTATTGTAAGAGTACCAAGCCATAGCAAGACAACATAATTCCACTTCTGCAGCAAGATGGAGACATATTGAAACATGCAAATATCACAGAACAGATTGGCAGGTATATAACAGACAGGCATGGCATTACTCATTCCATATGAATTCACTGAAATTCCATTCTCCAGAAGTATTTTAATATGTTGCTGTCATAAACTACAAATGTACTTGAAGTTTTCTTAAAACTGAAACCCAGAGTCACAGCACTGAAGTAGAAATGCCATTTCAAAAAAATGATATAGATACCAAAGCTATAAAACAAAACTGAATAAGAGCTCACCTTTATAAATATCCCTAAATTATTATTTGAAATATTAATCAGTATTTGTGATTTATTAGTAGTTATTGCTTTTTTAAAAATACATTTATTATTTTGTTAGGCTATAAACAAATCTCTGTTTATTGTCTGCCTGCCTGCCTAAATATTTATTTCCTATAGAAGGTACTGCCTGTAGAAAATGTTGTTCAATTCCTATCTCTGCTGGACCTTAACAGGCCAGGTTTCTGCTACATGGATGTATTTTTTTTTCTAATTTTAGGTACTGTACTATTAAATGTTATGTAACTTCATATATTATCACATTCTGTATAAAATTTAAATGTACCTTCACATTTTTGTAATTTTAGACACAACCTGTTTTATAGCCTAGATATAGAGTGTTCTTTTTGGATTTTACACAGTGGTTCTACAGTAGCCAGTTTGCATTATAGATGTATTTTAATTTTATCTCAAGTTTAATTTACTGGTTTCTTGAGATAGATTTATAACTGTTCAGAAATCACTCATGGACATATTTGTTCCGGTCTTTCAGTGCAATAAACTGACTAACTGAATTCTTATCTCACTTTGGCTCTTTATAGAAACCCTAGAAAGGCACTGAGCACTTATTTTATAGAGGAAGTCCTAATGTTAAGAAGTTGGAATTTCTAGAAGTCCTTTAAGACGGAGCAAGGGTTTGAACACAAGTTTATACAGGTTTCCTCCCCTCTTTCAACTGGGCTGAGCTGGCTGTCTGATCATATTTTAATCCAATGCTGGATCTGAAATTTAAACAATCCTCATGACTTGGCAGTTCATGCTGATATCAGGGTGGAGACGTGCTATGGGGCTCAGTTGATAAACATTGTTTCAGAAACTTACAGTGTTTCATCACTGATTGGAATCCTATTGAGTATGACTGTATAATTTCTTTTCAACATAAAAAAGGTATTTTAAAACTATCTGAGGACCATTATTTAAAATTATCTTGTGAAGTGGAATGAAAGGCTGGATTACGCTTTTGCATCCATCAGGTGCAAAAGGGGTGTAAGTGATATTAAAGTAACATGAGAAATGCTTTCAAATGAATTTTTATATTGCCACAATTACAGTTGGAACGAGGACCAATCAAGGATGTGGATCTCTTTTATTTGATATCTTCCAGTTGTGCTAAAATAAGCTGCCGTTTTTGTAACCCACCATATAATTCTGGCATTACAACTTTAGTAAAACAACATACAAAGAAGTCATAGAAAATCAGCTCTGCTATATTATGGTACTAGAAAATGAATCAGCCCCGAATTTGTTTCATTTTGCTTAATACACAGACCATCTCGAACCCTTTCTTATATTTTTCCACAGTAATGTTAATATATTCCAACCTCTTGTTTCATAACAGATCCTTTTAACCAAAAATAGAAATCAAGCGGGACTTCTAAATAGGCCATTCTTTTCTCTAGACAGTCAAAGAATTGAATCAAGTTAATGCAGTAAAACGTTTTGGAAAACTTGAACATTCTGATATGCTTAATGTTTGTTTACTTGGCAGCATACTTACATAAAAATATAGGGTGATATTTACAAAATTCAGATACTCAGAACGCTTAGACATTTCAGATCAGAAGTTTCGAAATTTAGCTCTGTTTTTGAATACAGAGATACAGAGTAAATTTGATTGTTTATGGTTTGATAAAAGTCAGGCAATGTTTTACTTCTCCTTTTTGTACCTGGCCAGAAATATCCATATCCATATCCATATGATTTGTTAACAGCATCCCTGTGTATACATGGTGTCACTTCAATAAAGTGCTTAATGAGCAGCCTGTCAAGGCTAAGATCATAATTTGTAAAAATATCCTGTTCTTTTATATGACATTTGTATCTAATTCCAAGGTACAAAAGGCATAATAGTACTATGCCCTCACTGTAAGCTTGTAATTTGTGGGCGAGAAAAGAAAACTCTGTTTATGCTTCTAGGGCTAGGCAGTTAAATTTTCGTATGGATGAGAGATCCTGCTGTTAAACCTTACATCAAATTATCCTAATTAAAGTCAAGGAACAATTATGGCCAATTGCTCTATTTGATGATATAGTAATTAATTCCCAGGATTTCATATCAGAAAATATTTAAGAAAGCTTAATGGGGGAGGGGAGAGGGGATGGGGGGGGGAAAGAGATATATATATTGATATCTCTTGCAGTATTTGCTACTGAGATGCATATACCACCGTCGTCACCCAGGCAAAGGATAACTGCGAAGTTCAGAAAAAAGGGTTTCATAAAACTCAGCTTCTCCTCTTGTTACGAACTGGATACTAGAAGATCATTTGATAAAAACTCCGACCAGAGTGGTAGAAATCCCAACTGATCCATATTCGGCAAAGCTTTAGAGCTGTATTAAAAACTAAAAATAAAATCTCGAGGTTTCCCTCCCCGAAGCAGAGCGTTCCCATGCTCAGGAAATTTGCTGTCCTGGATGTTTAGCATTAAGGCAGGGATGGGTTATTATGGCACGCCGACGGCACTGAGAAAATGCTGCCCTTTCCCCCCGTTTTCTATACCGAACTTCCTCCAAGGCAGAGTTTCAGCTGCAGCGCTCCCTTTTCCAGGTAAGCAGAGTGCGAAGCGGTCTTGCAAGAGTTTCTCCCAGTTTGTTGGGGAGGCAACCACAGTACTCACCTCCGTTGGATCAGGCAGGCGGACCCTCCTGCTTCGCCGGTCCTTGTAGCACTTTCCCCGCTCGCGATTCCTCCGTCCTCTTCACTCGGCCCAGAATCCTGCCATGGCTCAGCCCTCTTTCCTGAAAAGAGCAGGGTTGTCCTTTTTTTTTTTTTTTCTCCCCGGCGCCGCTGGCTTCTCCTCTTTTCTCCGCGTCCGGACGAAAGAGCTTCGCCGCGAGCAGGTGGAAAGGGGGCGGCTTTCTTCGCTCAGCGAGGGAAAGAGGGCGGGGAGGTGGTGATGGTGGTGGAGGAGGAGGAGTAGGAGTTGTTGTTGCCGCGGCCGCAGCCACAGGTTACTCCCTTTCCCTGTCGGGCCCGGCCTGGGATCTCTGCTGACCCCTGGCGCAGCGCTGCCGAGTGCCGGCCTGGCCTCCGCTTTGGAGCCCCGTTTTATTCCCCCGCGATTTCGGGGAGGGGAGCGATTCCTTCTCTGCGCTCCCCTTTCTTGCCCTTCTTGGGAAACTTTTTCACGCGGGAGGAAAAGTGAGCTCTCCCCCCCCCCCAGATCTTTCTTGTTATTTTAAGAAGCCGTCACCACCACCCCGTTAGCTCCGGCTGGAAACGCTGCCGCGAGCCCCAGGCTGCTGCCGTGAAAGGCGGTTCCCGGGCTGGAGCGCGCCGTGCCAAGTCTGCTCCCGAGGGGCATCATTTTCCAGCTTTGCCGCGGATCCTGGGCTCCCCGGGTCTCGTTGCACCGCTTTGACCTGGCCCGTGGATCCTCTGCCTAGCAAGGGCCTGAGTCGAGGAGGGAGGAGGAGTGCTCGTGCAGAGCCCGGCGTGGTTCTGATGGAAGCGGGGAGAAGGCTGCCTTTCAGCACAGCGGGCCTTGGCCTGGACCGGAGTTGGAGGCGGTGGGGAAAGTTTACAGCCCAAGTCTAGTGATGTTTATTGAGAAAGAGGCCGGCTAAAGTTGACGCCGTTAATTTCTCCGTAGAAGCGGCCTTGCTTTTGCTAGTTTAATACTGTATAATAGCTGAGCGGACGCCGAGCAGAGTCAACTAAGTTACAGTTATGGGTAGATGGCAGGTGTGTAGATTAAATTCTACTGGGAAGTCGGAGAAACGTCAATATTGGTATCAAGAAAACACGAAATCACCAGGAGTTAAATTCAGAGTGACTTCATTTTTAAGTGGTCTGCCAGCTGTTGATCATCTTCTACCTACCACAAGGAAGAGGTGAGCTGGATGGCTCCCTTTCCACTTCCTTAACATTATCCACGATGCATGTTTATTATTGACTGGAAACCCCATATGGATCTTTTGTGTGAAACAGAAAAAAATGAATTTATGATTTATAATTTGGATTAGGCAGGACAGACTACAGAAAGATGAGAGTGTATTGTAATCATAGAATGAGAGGTAAATTTATAAAGACCCCAATTTTTTTGAAAGACTTAACAGACCAACAGAAAATGGCACATTCCACATTTATTTAGTTCCTGCCACTGACAACAGTGAATAAACACCAACGCACTGCTTATTTATGATTCAAAAATCCTAATCTGTAGAGGAGTTTGCATCAATCCTTGTTTGTTCTGATTTGCAATACTTCTCCAAATTCCAGGATGAAAAAAGTTTTCTCCAATTTGTCACAAAGAAAGGTGCTGTGGTTTGAAATTGAAGTATTGTACATATATCTTTTTTGGGGACAGTGCTATTATGGTGCTGCTTTTCCTGGGTGATGGGAGCATTGAAAAACTGCCATAAGGCTTAGACAGAGCCTGACTGCCAGCTATGACATGTGTCCTTCTTCACTAAGCAGCAATTTGCTCTTACAAATTAGAAACCGATTTGATTTTCATTATATAAGGAAACTGCTGTTCTCTAATAAGTTACAGTATGCTGTTCCAGGAAAGAAAGAAGGAAGGAAGTTAATTGAATGACTTCAAAGACTGTGATATCCAAATGCATGTCAAAGTGCCTTATCATGGCTTCTTGATACCAATAGCAATATGAATTGTTCCTGCATTCACCCCCAGAATCTTTTTAATTTGCAAGGGAAGAATGATTGTGCTCAGAACATGTTAAATCAACAGATTTCTCAAGGGTGCAATTATAGATCTAGAGTGACATACAAGAGACACACATGATTTTGGTGCATGAAGGAATTTGAAGAGTGTCGGAAAGGAGATAACCTATTCGATATAGTGCCCAGAGTTTTACAATCAACTCAAGCAGTGGAGACTCTGAAAAAAGGACCTGAAATCTTTTAATTCTAGGCATACAAATTCATTCTTACTCTTCCAGAATCAGATTAGTGGATAGAACAGATTTATTTACATTAATATATAATGTCATACAATAGATGAATCAATTTGCAATATCCTCATTTTCAAATACCTCTAATAAGAGGTGGAAGAGCTATAGTTGGCAGATTCCCAATTCCAGAATAGGCTTGTGTTTATTGCATTATCTATGATCTGAAGACAGAAATCGTATCTTTTGTAGGCTGATTTGTGTGTGGTCTGATCCTATTTTCTGCACATTTAAGACTTTTCAAAGCCCACAAAACGTATTATTGAGGTGAAGAGAGTCCTCCCTTAAGTTGCCTTAATCACCTATAACTTACTATGTTGTGGACAGAAATTTGCTTACTGCATCTTATGAAATCTAGTACTTTGTTCTGATTTAATTCCCTTAATTTTGTTTGGTTTGGAAGTAGCAAAAAAGTGCAAAACAACATAGCTTTATCTCTATAGGACATCTTATGTTTTTTTCCCTTTAAAGCAAAAATTAAAATTAAGCTAATGATAGTAAAACCAAATTGTGTGTAGAATAAGGTTTTTTCCTTGAAGCAAACACCACCAAAGGAAGATTTTGACATCTGAAAAACACATGCTTCTTTATTTTTAATGCAGCTTTAATTTAAACTTGCTTATCCTGTTCCAGAAGGGCTAGGCTTTTTAATTAGACACTTAAAAATGTTAGTGTATTTAGCAATTATTGTGACTTCACCATGACAATTCATGTTCATACACACAAATAGCAGGTGAACATAGCATAAAAATATTTGGGTAATCTACTCCATGTCTCAGTTAAAATTATTTAAGACTACAATATTTCACTTTGATACAGGAAACACCACTAATATGCTTAGCAATGTAAATCATTTTTTCCAGTCTGATACTACAGTTTTCACATTTGGCTGGGAATTGCAGTTCCAAAATATCTGAAGGGTACTAGGTTGCCTTAAAATATTTATGAAATGTTCTGTATGTCTATTTGATAATATTATATATGTCCTTTACATTAATTTTTGAGCTATTAAGATACTGCTTTGTTTTATACAGATTACATAAAAAGAATTGACAGTTCAGCAACATCCATCTGTAAAACATTTAGTGCATCAGTATGAATAGTATTAATACTAGTATATACTATATAAACAACATGTGAACATATAAGCAATAGTTCTCAGTTTTTTTACCTAGTGTTGGCTGTCATATACTTCAAGTTCTTCCCAGAATGTAGCATGTCATAATGTATTTGTGTAGTATATATCTGGAACCAGTGTGGTGTTTTTACAATTAATAGACATTTTGTCATTGCGCAGATTTTCTAAGTGTTGTCCAAGACTTTTTGGCAACATGCATCTAGTTTGCCAATAAGCATGGGGACCAATATAACCAGTTTATGCTATAATATTTCAACTTCGATTTTCAGATCTTGATACTTTCTGATTTTCAGTTCTTTTGTCTTCTATCTTACTATCCCCTGATGTTGCCACATCGATTATCTACACATTCTTCTTTAACTACAGTTAAATCTGATGTGTTATAGTTCAAGATTATCAGTTTGTCTTTGCAAAACCCACTTTTAACCTGCTCACTTTCAAATATTTTTCCACTCTATGTTTCCATCTATTTTTCATTACTGGCACATTATAATTTTTACAAATGTGCCTGTGAATCATTTTGGTGACTGCATTATGTCATTGTTTATATTTTGTGCAATCTTCCTGTCAAAAAAAAAAGTGGATCCACCTATTCCGGGAGTGTTCTGAGAACTGCATTCAGCCTTAGTTTGCTAGGCTCTAAGCTCTAAAGCGTACAGACGGGAGAAACTCAATCTTTCTTAAACGTAGGGAAGTAAAATACGTATATGGTACTAATCATTTTTAAATGATTTTGAGTAATCAATAGGTCAAGTTAGCAATCAAGTCAATGTTTTCATGATAGTAAATGATAATGAAAAATACTTATATAGATAAGCACTTGAACATATGCCAAAATTCACAATTGTTGGGTTGGTAGATGTACTTATAAAATTATATATCATTCCTCTTTTACTTGTTTCCAAAGTTTGGCTCATTCTGATTTAATCAGCACTCATTCTAATTAATTGAACATTCCTGCTGCATTGTTCTGAAATGTCAGAAATAATTATGTATATTACGCATTCTCCACAATAATCTTCACAAAATCTTGAACTTCACTCTATCTCTGGTCCTAATACATGGATACAAGGCACTTCCAGAGAATCAGCCCTACAAACATGATAAATCTCTGCAATCAGATTTTAAATAATTCAAGGTATTTAAAGCTATAGGACTCACTAAACCCTAAACTTGACATTTCTGTTTCCTAATCACAGCTATGCCTTTTGTGCAATGCTCCATTATCTAGAAGAACTCCATAATATTTAGCATAGAAAAAATGGACTTAATCTACATTCAACTACCATTCTGTTATCAGAAGAAGAATAATAGTCATACATTATATGTACAATCTCTGAAATATGTATTTAAAAAGATATAAAAATATAAATATAGTAGTTTTGGGAGAAAAAAAGTAGTATCAGATCTATATATGGTATCTGCTTTTGAAAAAAGCACAACACAAGTATTTACAAAAGACAACTGGAATGTTGCAAATTAACAGAGAGAAAGATAAAAGGTAAAACAATTCATGTTATACATAGTTCCTAGAAAATTCAATTTGACTTGTGTATTTAAAGAGATATTTTCCCCTTGAAAAACAGCTTATTTGCCACAAACTTGCCAACTTCAACTGAAGCACAGGTCATTATGGTACATATGCTATGCTGAAAATGGAGCAGCTGAGCCTGTTTTACCAAAGTCTCATGCAACTTTGGTATGCCACAAGGAACAGAACTGTCAACATCTCCTTCATGTAATTTTTAAACATTGCTTCCATTACAAGGAAACACAGAAAATCCATGTATACAAGCATCAACATGATTTAGCTGACAAAGGCAGCAATTGCTATGATTTGTAGAATTCCTCCAAGTCCATATGCAACAAGTAGCACCACATTAATAATGACATCTGCTCTCAGGATATATGTTTGCCACACTAGAAAATAGACTGACAGAAGTACAGTGCCAACAGTGATCCCAAGACTGATCCCAAGGGGAGCTTCCTCTTCTGTCAAGTTGCCTTTAGTACCTAATAGGAAAAAAAAGAGACATACATGGACTTGATGGTATTTATGAGTCTGTTAGACTAGGGGTCCCCAACACACGGTCTGTGGACTGGTACCAGTCTGTGGCATGCCAGTAATCGGTCCGTGCAAACAAGCGAAGCCCCATCTGCGGGATGGAGGTAGCATACAAAACCATACACCCCTCTGGTCCGTGGAAAAACCTCTCTCCTCAGAACCGGTCCCTGATGCCCAAACGATTGGGGGCTATCATGTTAGACAATAACAGTAGAACTCCAAAACTGAACAGTAATTTAATTTATGGGGGGGGGGAATCATAACATAGTCTTAAATAGAAACTGAACCTTAATAACATTAAAATTATTAAAGACAAAATATATGGCTGGATCTAAAGCTTTCATACTGCTGGAATACTGCTAAGCAGCATTCTGCTAACAACATTCTTGTGACTGGAGATGTGTTTGTTGTTTATTTGTTCATTAATTCATTTGTCCATTCAATTTCTTTGGCTGCCCATCTCAGTTCAATTGATTCTGGGTAGTTTTTCCTTCAATAGCTGTACTAGCATGTAATGCTAAGAAGGCAGAGGTGATCTGGCTACATATCTAGATAGGTTTTAAGAGGGAGCAGAAGGAACAATTGTGATTCATTGTTCTCTTCTGCCTAGCCACGCTCATTGCCAAAGAAAAACCCATTAGTCTATTGGATACCAGCTCCTTGTAAGCTGCATAGCTACTATCCTTTATGTAGCAGCATGTTACGAACAATCTTTGTGTGTAATGATCCAGTCTAGAATGCTACAGGAGAAACTTCACCTTGACTTAAGTGAATCTCTGCAGTTTTAAGTTAGTAACCCGGTTGTTAAGTGAATCTGGCTTCCCTGTTGACTTTGCTTGTCTGAAGGTTGCAAAAGGTGATCACATGATTGCAGGACACCGCAATTGTCATTACAGACCAGGTGCCAAGCATCCAAATTTTGATCATTGACCATGGGGATGCTGCAATGGTTGTAAGTGTGAAAAATGGTCATAAGTCACTGTTTTCAATGCCGTTGTAGCTTTGGTCACTAAATCAATTAGAATAGAGCTGGGAGGGACCTTGGAGGTCTAGTCCAACCCCCTTGCTCAAGCAGGAAACCCTATACTATTTCAGACAGGTGGCTGTCCAGTCTTTTCTTAAAAACCTCCAGTGATGAAGCATCCACAATAGCTGAAGGCAAGCTGTTCCATTGGTTAATTGTCTTAACTGTTAGGAAGTTTCCCTTTAATTCCAGGTTGCTTCTCTCCTTGATCAGTTTCCATCCATTGTTTCTTGTTTTGCCTTCTGGTGCTTTGGAAAATAAGTTGACCCCCTCTTGAATGAATGAATGAATGGATAAATAAATAATGAATGAATGGTTACACGTTGAGGACTACCTGTAAAGTTAAATTTCATAATAGTGGCAAGTACCCTGCTTATCTAAAGAAGACGATAACTTAAGCTGTACAATTTATTCTATGGCTGCTTAAACTGCTGATACAGAACTGGAGTCTCGCAGTGGCCTTTCATACAACAAAGAGGCAGACAGACACACCAACACTATTCCATTCTAAAGCACTTTTGACTATTCAAGCAGTTTGAAGACTCTCTCTCTCCAACCCCCCAAAAATACGTTCTTCCTTTGTCACGTTTTCTTCTTCTCTAGTGGCCTAGAATACCGCAGTAACAATAGTTTTCATTTTCAAATAGTTACAATTTTTAATATAGAAATTTAATACAGAGTAAGTCCCACTGAACTCTGAGCTAATATGCACAAAACAGTTGAATTGGCCAGTGAAAAGTCTTATTTTTATATTAGAGTAACATCTCATTTGTACTTTCTACCAAAATAAATTGACCGGTCTTTTAATGTTTAACAGTAAAAGTATTTAAAAGGCTTATCAGATAATTGGCTAGTTGTCTTAAATTGCACAGTTGGACTCATATTTTTACATACAGATTACTATTAACTGGTGATTGTAAATAACGTCATGCTTACCAAAGTACAAGCGGATAGCTTCAAGAAGTGCCATAAAGAACAGCAATACAAGATCAAGAGTCAAAAACCTATATGGATAAGTGAAAACCTGACCTGACAGTAAGTAAAATATAAAAGGGAGAGAAAAATCAAGTTAGTTTATATCATGTCACCAAGTATCAGCACAACCATCTTTTAACTATCTTTTAAACTACTTACTTTTATAAATAATCATTAGAAGTGCTGCTAAAAAATAAAATATATAATAAATTCCAACTAAAAAGAAAAGGATCTGTAGGGGAACAGATGACAGCTAGCAGGTTCTGTCAAGGAAAATTATTTATCATATTTTTTCATATTTTATCTATGTTGGATCATAATTCAGTGTTTTATGTACTGTAAAACTGCAGCAACATTCAGTGCATCTACTAGTAGTTTAAACTGTAGTTAAATCAGTCCATTTCCAAAGATTGATGATAAACTTAGACTTGGATACGAATAGCAAAGTGAAGGAACTGCACCTCAGTTGACTAGGAGCCACAGGCAATTCAGTTACACCCCATTTCAGTAAGCAGTCTTTTTAAAAAATGGTCTTTTTGAGGAATGGCTGCTTCCAGAGTAGATCTAGTGTTCCTGTTGAATCACCATTGAACGATTCCAAAGTTATGTTTCAGAATATTTCAAAACATTACATTTCCTTTTAATCCAGTCATGATTTTGTTTCCTGCCTGCAATATGAAATTGTTTCAACTAGAAACTGAATTGGGAACTTTTTGAATGAATGTTATGTGCTTGGTTGCTGGGCATATACAGCAAACTGGTTCAGAAGCCGCATTAAGCCACAATTTTCCTTAAGTATGATTTACTGAATAAATCATAATTAGCAGTATTTGTGCAATACATTAATTTATAAACTATAGTTTACAATCACAATGACTGAGGTTAGAAAAGTTAAAACCAAATTAAGCCAAATTAATCATATTGTGGTATTGTGAATAAGGTCAGAAAATCAGCTAATAGTCTATTTAGCTGTGCCGCTGTAATCTATTTCAGGTTACTAACCCACATATAAGAGTCCACTAATTACGTACTCTATTAATAGTCAGTAAAATGCCATTCTCTGATCCCATATAGAGAAGTATTCCTTAAGTTAAGAGACATAGTCCTCCACTTCAAATCAGAATGCAAACTAGCAAGTCTGTCAGTGTAATTAAAGCTCTCCATCTTTATGAATGCCTGCTTCTTTGAAAAAATCTGCAATTTGCTATTGAAAATTATCTACATTTTCTTAGCAAGATAGATGATTGATATTAACGAGAGTACTGCTTTTATTTGCTTGTTTACTTAGTCCCAGATCCTATTTTATGGCACTATCAAATTCATTCCTTGGTTTTCTAAGCACGGATGAGTATATTTTATAGTAACATAGAGTGCAAATCTCCTCCCTTTCTATTGCTTATATTCCATTTGAATTCTGCTCTTCAGTTTCTATCTTATATCTATGGTAGGAATTCCATCAGATTCCTGTTACACCTGTTAAATTATATTTGATTTTCTGTACAAAATGGCTTCAAAATCTAAGGGACTGGTTTGGATAAAACTCAGCAGCACTTTTTCGTGCGGCTGCTGATAAAAACAGGATCGCCAACATGATCGCCAACGTCCGATAACAGATATGGCACAAGAAGAAGTACAAATTGTTCAAGCTCATCGTATTTACTTCTTACACTGTGAACATTAGTAGATAGACAAAAAGTGTCATGATATTTATGAAATATTGCTCTGATTTTTCAGCAAGGCCCCATTTCAGCACTATTCCCACATTTCATAGTGCACAAGTCTTTATCTGGGATCCTTCAGTTTCCAACTTCCATGGGCTTCAGGTTAAAACCCTTTTAATAAAAAATCTAGGATTCTTTATCTTACAACCTTTTTAACAGCCCTTGAGATATGCAGTTCCTCTCGTGTCAGCAGGCTATTGTAATTCAGAAGACAATCCTAGAATTATATCATTTGCATAATCAGTAATTGACTTTTATTTTTAGTTCTCATTTATGAATTGGATAGATGGATACGAATACTACTTGAGCCTCTTAGCTTTCCTTCTAAGAATTTTAGTCTGCATGTAATATGTATCCTTTGTCTCCACTTGTGTTAGCAGGAACAGATGCCTGTAAGGTGACTTGGTAAGTCTTAGAAGTTGTCATGTCACTAATCTTGCTTGTAGCAAACAGAACAATTTCAGGAGAAATTTACTTTAACTCTTTGAGGTGAATCACCATCTACTGTGCCTTTTCTTTTTGTTTTGTTTGAGGATAGACAGGTACATATGTAGGTGCATCCTTTCTATCCTTTAGGAATATGCTACACTAGCTTACTCTGTATTCTCCTATCTTAAATGTTTGGAACCATTTTTTATCTGCAAAGACTTGAGATTTTTTTTTTCTGAACTTCAGATATATAGACAAGGAAGGCACTGCATGACCTGTATTATCTTTTGAGGGATTCCTCAAAAATGGGTAGCCTGAATGAAATGTTATTTTCTGACATTTTTGACATTTTTGCTGTCTATCAGCAATTGAATTCATAGACCATTTTGATGCCTATATAGAATGTATTGGCTACTGGAAGTATCCAGGTTCTGGGATTCAGCAGTTCTAGAAGCACTATTAAAATGGTATATTTTAATTAATTAAATGTAATTAATATTTCCCTTAGGCTCTTCCCAAGCAGACATACCAACGTTATCTCATCACCCTTTGTATGGGGTTTTACATAACTGCCATGCTTCTGGGGGAGGGGAAGGTTCTTTATTTTTACAACGTAACTTCTTGTGTGGTATTTTCAGTTACACTGAATAGGAGGCCTAACATGATATAGATAGACTGATGTTACGGATGCTTGGAGGCAACTAAGTATTTGGATGGAGAGGAACAGATTTGGGTTAAATCCCTAGAAGGATGGAGTGGCTATGGGTCTTAAGTCTTCTGAATCTAGCGATTGTCCATTTATGAATTTGGATGCAATCATACACCACCACCCCCATACTGAGCCAGTACAAAATTTGGGTGATTCTCCTAGATTTGCCGCTCCTGCTTGAATAGCAGATGGAAACAGTGATCAGAACAGCCTTTGAACAATTGTATTTTTTCCTGCATGCATTATATAGTCACACATGTCCTTGTTACCTGACAGTTGGCTGCTGCAATTTGCTCTATGCAGGTCTGCCTTTCAAAAGCAACAAAAGCTTAAAGAGGTTCAGCACACAGCTATCCAGATAGTAGGGGGAACATTTAAATTAATCCATATAATGCCTCTATTCTTTTTGCTGCATTGACATTAGTCAGCTTCTGGGCACAATACAGTATGCTAGTTCAGAGTATTTCAGAGATTCTAGTATTTCAGCTAGTATTTCAGCGATTCTTCAAGAAATCTCTTCATCTAGTAAGATCAAGGAGAGAAGACCTAAGGGCGTCATCATCAATTGAGTTCAATTTGTAGAGATCTTGTGGTCATATCTTCTCAGCTCTTTTCTTGTAGAAGAATTTGCCTTGTATATATGGACCGTCACCTCCCACCTGTTTCCACGGAGCTGTGAAAACATGGCCATGTGACAGAACACTTGGTGTAGCTGTTAAGTATCTCCAAGTGGATGGCATTACTATTGTAATTTGACATAGTTTATAATTTTCTTTTTATGTAGTATACTGTTCAAAACAGTTTGAAATGGAGTGCCATTAAAAATCCCAATAAGAAATACTGTTATTGATTATGCCCCAAAAAATACCAAATATGTTCAGGTTAATTATGCATACTCATATTTATCAGAATAAATATTTTCCTGCATAGGACCATCTGCTACCAACTATTTTGGAGAGTCCAGACGCTATATTCGAATTTACGCAAACCTATAAATTATAATAGTATTTTTATCCTACATTTTTTATATATAACTCAAGGCTGGGAACATATCTAATACATCTGCCTCCTGTTTCCCCACAACAGTCCTGTGAGTGGGTTGGGCTGAGTGACTGGCCCAAAGTCACCCAGTCTGCTTTCATACTAAGGTTTCTAAGCCAGCACCTTAACTATTACACCAAACTGCCTCTCTGTTAGAATTATAACTGAAAAGCACACATCTGATAGTTTTTATTTGTTCTTTAATTTTATAAATCTACAGTAGAATGTTAAATCTGGCAAACAGCAAGTTAAATTGGTATGGTTTTTCTTACATTTGTGATAGTTTTGCACTGAAAAAATATTTGCAGTACTCTTGCCAGAACATGTAAATTGCTGAAAGCCAAACTTTTCTTGGAAGCCAACCACACCCACTTAGATTTGAAAGGATTTTGTGCATTATCGTTTGTTATGTAGATATTAATTTTGCTTCTATTTTACTTAAAGCATAATCCCTTTTCAATTGGAGATTTAAAAACCTACTGATAACAGATGTATTCCAGTTTACAGAATGGATGAGGAATGAAAACGAAAATGAGATTGCAGTAGAAGAAATTGCTAAAGATTATATCTCAAATGCTTTTGGAGGATTTTTTTCTGCAAATTGCATTACTTGCAGCTGCCTCCTTTAAATATTATTAATCTATGTATTTCATTTCTTGGTTTCTCAGATACAAGTCAATCATATCTTAATGCCTACATCAATAATAATATAGTCAATTTGCATACTATCTCCTTAAACATTCAGATTTTGGAAATAAAACTTATTAGAGGATAATGACATATAGCAACATTTTTCATATTTGTCAGTTTCTGGAAGTGATCACATCAACAAGACCATCATGGAATTCATGTGGATTGTACTGGATGGTATCCCAAGGCTACTTGGGGAAGATCAGATGAACAGAAGATACGACAAGATATACCTAACAGTCTCCCTCATTTATACGTCAGAAACCTATCCACCATTATTCATTTTCCTAAAAGAAACTATCATAACTTCTGAGAAGATACCAACATTATCTGAAGCACATTTGAAAATCATTGGTATGATTGGTTAAAATTTATTTGGTTTTTGAGATAAAAGAAAAAGGATACAACAGATGATGATCTTCCTGTACACAAGACAAAAATAAAATTATTTCCAAAAGATAACCTTTAAGGTGAAAAAATTACAAAAACTAATGTGCAGAAATTCTTTTAGTTATTTTGAGAAGGAAATATTGTCCCACAATAATCAGCTATATAATTCAGAACATAGCACTTGTTTCAATGTTACAGGACCCCATCACCCTTTGATACCGTAATACCTTAATTCAAAATTATTTAACAGAATTTTCTGCAGGTTTTTGGTTTAGGGGTCTAAACCTAAATATATTATTAAATAAACTAATGAAACCATTAGGCAGCTTTATTTCTGGAATGAATCATTCAGATTTAAGTAGTTAAAATGTCGTCCAAAATTCTGATTAGAAAAACAAGAAAAAATGAACTATGCAAAATAATAGGAAGTTATGAATTTTAGGCTTATTTAAATCTCTTTAAGAACATGTTTGTATCTGGGCTAGGAGTCATGTTGGACTTATCCTTATTCATGCTTTATAGGGAGTGCCAGAAACATGTGCGACCAGTTTCATTGCTTATTGAGAGTTTTCAGGTATGGATGGCCAGATATTATTCTAGGGGGTTCAAGCTATCTACAGGTGATCTTCGCCTTCCAACCACAATTGAGCCCAAAATTTAAGTTGCTCAGTGAAACATTTGTTAAGTGAGTTTTGTCACATTTTACAATCGACCTTGCCACAGTTGTTAAGTGAATCACTGCAGTTGTTAAATTAGTAGTACAGTTGTTAAGTGAATCTGGCTTCCCCACTGACTTTGCTTGACAGAAGGACACAAAAGGTGATCCCATGACCCTGAGACACTGCAACCATCATAAATATGAGTCGGTTGCCAAGCATCTGATCATGGAGATGCTGCAGTAGTCACAAGTGTGAAAAATGGTCATAAGTCACTTTTTTCAGTTTTGTTGTAACTGTCACTAAATGAACTGTTGTAAGTCGAGGACTCCCTGTATTGGGAACTGAACTAAGTCTATTACAGTGATCCCAACCGTTGCGGCCTCGCGTGTGCGCTCTAGCCAGCCACTCACATGCCCAATACCAAATAGGCCACAGCCTGGTAATGGGCCACAGCCCAGGGGGTTGGGGACCCCTAGTCCAGTGTTTCCCAAACTTGACAATTTTAAGGGATGTGGACTTCCCTTGCTGGCTGTGGAATTCTGGGAGTTGAAGTCCCCATGCCTTAAAATTGTCAAGTTTGGGAAACACTGCCCTAGTCTATTACACTGATGACTATAAAGAATGCATTAGCTTTAGGAGTTATCGGAGTCCTCTCATTCAGCAATTACAGGGATATCTAGATGTGCTATCAGACTGGTATATACAGTTCCCTTTCCCTCCAGAACAGAAAGATACAAATGTTGTCTTTATGTCATGACCCCCATATATAAGTTTTTACATGACCTCTTTATATAACTCTTTTCAACGGGGACAGAATTTCTCTATTTTTTACAGTGTATATCCAGTGTAGTATTTTTCCCTGTAGATGTACATACATAATGTAATATAGCATCTGTATCTTTCTGCTCAGAGCTGAAGGGAAGGTAGACTACGTAATTCACAACTCTTGAGAGCTTTATTCAAATGTAATTCAATTTCATAGAGCAGGGCTTTTCAACCTTTTCACCCATTGTACCACTTTTAGGATATGGCAACATCCGAGTTCCACCAGTCTCCTGGCAAGGTGTCAAAAATGTGATGATCAAAAAAAAAAGGAAAAAAGTGATAAAGTACAGGTAGTCCTTGACTTACAACAGTTTGCTTAGTGACTGTTCGAAGTTACAATAGCACTGAAAAAAGTGCCCATGGCACAGCGAGCAAGACACCTGCCTGCCCGCTCAGCGGCACTCTTCCTCCTGTCCGAGGTTTTCATTGTTGTGAGCATTTCTGTTGAGGATTGGCAGCAGGGGTGGGGTGTGTTTGGTTTTTATTCCCCCCCCCGTCTACTGGGTGGTTGCAGCAGGTTTTGGTCACTTCAGCTGACCCTGGGACTGTGACCATCATAAATATGAATCAGTTGCCAAGCATCTGAATGTAAATCACAAGACCCTGGAGATGCTGCAACATTCCAGCTGACTGGTGCTTCTTCAGGGCTCAGCAGAAGCACCAGGATCAGCGCCGAACTCCAGCTGGAACCTGGCGCTGATCCTGGCGCTTCCACTGACCCCTGACAGCCCTGCAGCTCCAGCCATCTCTCGCTCAGGCTTGTGCAGTGCTGCCACTGGTTCAGTTCATTCCCCTCCCCCACTACTTTTCTAGGATGGTCGCGTACCACCTGCCAGGTGCCAATGAAAAGCCCTGTCATAGAGTACCTTTGTTTCCCTCTAGTGAAATAACCATGAAATGGTTTGGTTTTTTTTGGTTTGCTAATAATTTCAGCCCAAGTGCAAGTTTAAAGTGAAAATTTCACTTTTTGGTAGTTAACACTGATAGTTTATTAGCAGTTAGTTAAAAGTGATAGCCAATCAGTACTGAATTAGAGAAACATAAGAGCATAGATTGGAAGAGGACATGACCTCCAATTCCTTCCCCAGTACAGGAATCCAAATGGAAGCATCTCTGCAGAATAACTTTCTAACATCTATTACACAGGTGTCAAACTCGAGCGCGTCACATGATGTATTGTGACATATCGTGACATTTTTTGCCTTTGCGGAGCTGGGGTGGGTGTGGCCTGTGCATGACGCATCTGGCCTGCAGGCCGCCAGTTTGACACCCCTGGTCTCTTAGAATAAAAATAAAAGATAAGCCTTTCTAACTCCACTATTGTCAAAGTGCCCTTATTCTCAGAACTTCTTTTTCCCTCCTCTAATATTCATTTGCAATCTGCCTTTTTCTACAATCCATTATTCAGCATTCTGCCCTCTGGAATGAAAGAAAATAGGTGTTGATGATAGTACATGATATCTTTTCAGGTATTTGAAAGAACTACAACATAGTTCAGCTATCTTTTCTCAAGGCCAGACTTCCCCAGCACTTTGATTCTTGTCCTAAGATTTAGTTTCTAGTTCTGTTTGTCCTTGTTACTCTTTTTGAACCTGCTCCAAGTTCTCTATATTCTTCTTAAAACTAGATTTCAATATATAAGATGGGATTTGACTGAAGTGGAATAATGAGTTTCTGTAAAATATTAAAGCCCACAATATACTAGAAAATGGATATTTAAGTATTTGACAAATATTCTCTCCAGATGACAGTATTATTGTCTTTAGGTTGCCTTCTATTGAAGATAACATCTTTGTTAGATCACAGGAAATCTCTCATTAGCATAGTATAGCATTGTACAGTATTGTAGTCATACTTGAAGAAAACAAATTTTCATAAATATAGCGCCTCAAGAAACTGAATGAAAAGTAGGATATAAATTAAAAACATATATGAATAATATTAACTGTAGTTCAACTAATGCTGAATTATTTAGAGCATGAATCAGTGATTACAGGGACTGATAATTCCATCACTAAGTAGCATGGTCCTTATGTGTGATGCCATGTGATTGTGTATTTCAACTTCCTGCCTGCTTTCCTATTGTTTGCTTGTCAGAAGCTACTAGTGAAGGTCATAAGGCAATCACATAAAGGGGGGGGGGGGCTATGCAACAGCCTCAATTTTGAAGACCGGTTGTAAGTCTCAGTTTTCAGCACCATCGTAAATTCCAATAGTCACCAAATGGTCAATGAGTGAGAACCACCTATAATTTCCATAGATGAGACTGTCACAATGCCACAGAAATAAACCAGGCAGCTAATCTGTGCCTGGACTGTTAAATGACTGTTAACAGTTACATGACTGTATTCTCCACGAGGAATTCCCCTTCGTCGCTTCCTAGTCTACGAAGAAACTACAGAGTCTATAGAAACTACAAAGACCGATATGGTGGGACGCCGTTCAATTCTGCAATATCAGCTTACCATCACTCGTTTTTATTTATCATTGCACGGATAATTACTAATTAGCATTTAAAAAAAGATAATAAAGGTTATCTTATCTTATTGACTTAGAAGCAACTTCTCTTTAATTCAGCAAAACGTGCTTGAAAGCCAACTAGACAACTGTTTCACTGTTGCGAAGGTAACCCATTTGCAACCAAGTTAGACTGCAACCTAATGACCAACAAGATATCGCCAGCGGCATCCAGGATTCCTCCAAGCCTCTCTTTTTCTCGTCTTAACTCGGTTCTCAAAACTTGAAGCAATGTTTTGAATCAAAGCAACTCCGCTCACCTTGCCTGACGGCCGCCATACTCTCTCACTCCCACCCCCAATCCCTCCCCTCCCCAATTCCTCCAGCATCCCGACAACCCTTGCGCAGTCTCCTAAGGGCTCCATGGGCGGATTGCCGTTCGGCGTGTTTCGTGCAAGCGGAACTCCACGATCGCCTTTATTGTTCGCGTCCTCGGAGATATTCGGGCCCCCTCGGACACCGCCGGTGGGTCCGGATTGTGAGAGGGAGGATTCACGAAGCCTTCGCTCTTCTTCGGACCTTTGCTTCCCATCTCGGTTCGGTCATAGCCGGAAAGACTCGGGCCTGTTCGGCAACGGCCGTAGCTCGACGAGTAACCGCCACCTATTCGGGTACTTTCGCGAGCTTCCGATCCCGCTCTAGCCGCCTCAACATGAACTTTCGGTAGATCGGGAGAAGTCGGCTCCGATCGGGATCGCCCGGATGAGACCGAAGCAGGTTGCAGGACGGGTTCGGGAATACCCGTCATCGACGATACTCGGATAAGATCGGAAGCGGCTTTGGGTCGTTCGTTTCCCTATTCGGGATTCTTAAAGAGAAGATCGGGCGAGATCGGAGAATAACTCTCATTCGGACGAATTCGGCTAACTTCGCGGGATAACTCCCCCCCACTAAGTGTCTTCGGATGGAGGACTCGGACTCGGCCGCGAAGCAATTAGGTTTAGCCGAAGCGGCGGCGGTAGCTGCCGCTGCTGCAGTGGCTGCAGCAGCGGCAGCTGCCGCAGCCGCAGAAGAATCCGAGCAGCAGCACGAACATCAAGGACAGGTGTCCTGTTCGGAGGCGGAGCCACAAGAGGAAGAGGAGGTGACGGCTGTCACCGTAATGGCGGCAGATGCCGAACACATTGAGATGGGAGCCGAATCCCTGCCGAGTGCGGACGAGGCTGCTGCAGCAGCTGCCTTTGCAGGTCGGCGCGCATGCGTACAAGCACGCCACCCGCCAGTCATTGAGCTCGGGTCGTGACTAGGTTGTGTGGTGATCGTTCGCTTGTGTGAATGGTCCATCACGCGAGTGCTACTTTCAAGCGTCTTTACTTTATTGGAAACGTTTGGATGTTCTTGACTTACCTCTAGTATCCCATCATGAGGATATATACATACACGTATGCATCATCCATGACGTTCCAAGAAAGCGCAGAAAGTGTCACCTTCTCCTCTGCATTATTTTAGTTGTGCCGTTTCTTATTCCTGACAAGAGGACTGTGATATGATCATGCTCGATGATCAGACAGGCAGAAATCTAGCATTTCTCCGTCATAGTATCTTTCATCAGAGCAACATGTCCTGTTGATTTTTTTGATATCTACATCTGAGTTAGAAATTTAGTTGTGGTTTTTGATGAAAAAAAAAACCAGTTCCTGTAGCTTTGCCCATGTGTATTTTAAGATGTAGTAGCAAAAGATATTGACCGATTAAAATTTCTAAGAGGGATATCAGACAGATTAAATACAACACATTGAAACCTTACCCAATAATTATTGAACTCTACAAAAATCAGCTAAAATAAGATTGTCATATTATAAACGGGCACGGATTCCTTTTCTCCCTTAACATTTGGCTATCTTGCACATAATCCTTGAGAGCTCTGTTAAAGTCAGTATTTATATAAATACTGGAAATCAACAGATAATGAAAATTGTATCCTCAGGAGGGAATCAGTATGAAGATATCATTCTATAATGTCTTATTTAACAGAACGTGCATATTTGCTTCTTGGATTTTGGTAGTTCTGAAGGAAGATATCACAGCAAATATTATTTGGATCATGTTTTACAGAAGTAACCACAGTAACAGTAGCCAATGTGGGTGCCTCTGCAGACAATGTATTCACTACCTCTGTGGCAAATGCAGCATCAATATCAGGACATGTATTGGTAAGATCAGGTTTACTTAATCTTACAATATTTAGCTTTGCATATTCAGTATTTCCTTTGTGGTAGAAAGTATCTATTGTAAATGTGTGTTGTAGCTATGAAGGTTTATTATGTGATCAAATTGCACAGATTTGTATTAGCAAGGTTTGTACTGGGGATGAGCAGAATAAATATGACTGGATTTTCACAACACTGTAGGCTATCAGTTACTTAGATTGGCTAGCTTGCAATTCAGTGTATTGTATGAATCCAGGTAAATATTTAATTTAATTCATCACAGTTAAACATGGATTAACATCTTGTGACATTTTCTTCTTTATTGTTGTTCGCGCACAAAGAAATTCTTTCACTCTACATAGGGTTACCCTTGAAAATTATCCAGAAGCTACGCAGTGGCATGAGCGGTTTTAGGCATTCCTAGAGTTGTGCATGTAACATCTCTGCTGTGTGAGTGGCATTGGATGCTAGTTTGCTTCTGGGTCCAATTCAAGATATTGTTTATCACTTTTAAAGCTCTTCATGGCATGGGACAATGTTACATAAGGAAGAGTCTTATCCCTATTTTATTGACCCGTCCCCCCCCATTTAGGCAGGGACAGTATGTTGCCTAGCCCATCAGTCAATTTCATCTGATAGGGTCTAGGACAGTGGTTCTCAACCTTTTTAATGCCGTGACCCCCAACCGGTCGTAAGTCGAGGACTACTCAACCGGTGCAGCACCGTTTGCAGAATGGGACTTTTGGCGGGCTCAGCAGGGCAGAGACAGCCTGGACAATTCCTATTGGCTTTTGAAAGCCAATAGAATTAGACTCTATTCAAGAGAGTCTATTCTATGGCTTTCAAAAGCCAATAGAATAAAAGGGAGTAGCACAGCTAAGGAAAAGGGGAAAAAAATGGTGGACTGCGTTGTTTGGCGACCCCCATGAAATGGTCGTTCGACCCCAAATGGGGTCCCGACCCACAGGTTGAGAACCACTGGTCTAGGAAGAGAACCTTCTCTGTAGTTGCACTTCCCCTGCTCTCTCGGCCTTCCAGGCCTTCCAGAAGAGAGTCAAAACCTAGCTCCACCAATTGGCATGGGATTCTAACAGTGGCATGCAACTTGGGGATGGCTGGTGGCTTGAAGGGTTGTTGCTCCCTCTGCCCTTTTAACTTTTCTGCTACAGTATATACTTGTTTATTGTTTTTAATTTTGTTCTAATTCTGTTTTTTTAACTATATTGTTTTATATTGTCATATAGTTTCATTTGTAAACCATCCAGAGTCATGCAGATGAGATGGCCAGTGTAGAAATTTGATTGATTAATTGATTAAATAAATAAATACCGGCTCTCCAGTTAAATGGAGCCAAATTTCAGCCATGTCCCTTAGAAGAGAGCCGCACCTAATTGTTAATAAATGTATAAAACAGGGGTCTTCAAAGTTGGCCCTTTTATGACTTCTGAACTTCAACTCCCAAAATTCCTCAGCCAGGCACGCTGGCTGAGGAATTCTGGGAGTTGAAGTCCACAAGTCATAAAAGGGCCAACTTTGAAGACCCCTGGTATAAAACCTTAATGTTATGTTATAATACTTGTGGTACATCTGGTTCTGCTGACACCATTAGCTTCATTGGGTCCCTTTCCTCTGGCTAACACAGAACAAAACGTTAGTTAACGTGTATTTTGTACTGTCAGGGTCTAGATTACTAAATCTCCCGAGGCAAGGAGGTTTTATACTGATTCAGTATAAAATGCCATAGGCGTGACTAAAATAATGATAATAAATAGAGCTTGCAATGGCTGTTCTATTTCAGTGTGACTCAGCCTTCGCTACATAATGTAATGAATATCTTCAGACTTTAAATGAGTTCAAGGCATCAAAACCATATATATCAGTTTTGATTAAACTCATGTCTGTTGTCTCTGAGAAATGCTATAAAACTGGTGAAGTGCCAGTTGACTGGAGAAAGGCAATTATCTTTATTTTCAGAAGGGGAATAGAAGGAAGACAGAACTACACATCAGTCAGTCTGGCATTTACCGGTAGTACCTGGGAAGATTCGAAAGTGAACCATAATGCAACCAATCTATAAGCATTTTGAAAACAATGAATATTCGAAGTCAGCTTGGCTTTATGAAGAAATCTTGCCAGAGTAACCTTATTTCATTTTTTATCAGAAAATGTATTTAATAGATAACGGGAGTATTGGAAATGTATCTAAACTTGAGAAAAGTATTTATGTGATATTGTAAGTTTAGATTAATTAATATGTCTAAAGTGTATTTGCAGTTGTCCTGATAACTATACCCAGACAGTGCTTCTTAATGGTTCCTTATAAAATTGAAGTAATACATCAAACAGGGTGCTAAAGCTATTAATCATATGCCCAATATTCTTTTTTTTTTTTTAAATCAAGGAAGGAGAAAACAGAGTCGTAGTCTCCATACATTTGGATGTGGAAAACAGGGATTTGACTGTTCCTTTTACACTCTTCAGTATATGCAACTTGATATTTCCATGGGAATTTATTAGGAATCCTTACATATTAAGGAACATAAAAATCTAATCCTTTCAATAAGTTATACTATCTAAAGGTTTTTTTTTATTTCTTTTACAGTCTGGAAGAACAGCTCTTCAGATTGGGGACAGCTTAAATACTGAAAAGGCTACTCTGATTGTGGTTCACACAGATGGCACCATTGTGGAGAGTGCAGGTCTGAAGGGACCATCTGCACCTCTTACTACAGGTAAAATGTGAGCTGGGGGACCTTTTTAAAATGTCATATAGTAATACAGTATAAATTTATAACAGGTTTTCTTTTTCAACACTTCATAAGCAAGCTAATATTTAGTTAGCAGAATGTCTTGTTTTTCATTCCATCCCTTTTCAAAGTTGCTTGAGTGGGAAAGGAGGGTCCTGTAATCCAATGACCTACAGCAGCCAAGATAGCCAAACTACATCTAGTACCTATGAGAAACTAGTCATTTTTTTTATAATTCTAAAATTCTATAGTAAAAGTTAATACTTCAAATTTAACTCAACCCTTAGTCTGTTTATAACTTTCTCAAATCAAAATCTTGTTTAGCCTTTTGCTGTTTATTTCAAATTCTTTAAGCTCTTAAGCTTGTAATTAATTTTTCTTTTGTTCAGAATATATGCTAAACTTACCTGGCAACTTTTCAATTTTGTTGTTTTGAAGATCTCTTATAGCTTTAAGATGATTAATAGGCAATTTCTGAAAGTGATTAGAAAGTAAAGCTTGCGAATTTAGTGTCCTTTAAAAGGTTATGTCACAGTTGCAAGCAATCTCTGAGGGAGGTGGGCGGTTAAGAAATATAAAAATATAAATGAAAAGCATGGATAAAAACAGGATCGACAACATGATCACCAACGTCTGATAACGGATATGGCACAAGAAGAAGAAGAAAAAGAATATATCTCCTGGCACTCAAACCCCCAGAAGACCACATTCCTGTGATCTCCTCATGAGAATCAACTATCTGGACTGATCAGTATTTTCTGCCTTTTAGGGAGCCATTAAGACACAAAAACATCTTACTTATTTATTAGCTATTGCAGTGTAGAGGGATAAGCAAACTTAGGCCAGTTTGCATACTATATAACAGTGTTTCTCAACCTTGACAATTTTAAGGCATGTGGACTTCAACTCCCAGAATTCCACAGACAGCATTGCTGGCTGTGGAATTCTGGGAGTTGAAGTCCACATGCCTTAAAATTGTCAAGGTTGAGAAACACTGCTATATAAGCACTGCATTTCAGTCACTGTCCCCCTCTTCTGGAATAGTATCTCTCTGACATGCAATCCGCCTCCTCCCTCCTGGTCTTTAGAAATTTGATGATAACATGGCTGTTTTGTCAAGCCAGGGAGGCTGGATCATTATGACAGTCCCTCCAGATGAGATGGATTGTTTATTTTGAATACATCTCCCACTTTTATGTAATTCAGTGGTTCTCAACCTTTCTAATGCCGTGACCCCATAATACAGTTCCCCATGTTGTGGTGACCCCCAAGTGGGTGTGGCCACCAATAAGAGGGAGTAGGACAGCTAGGGAAAAGGGAAAAAAATGGCGGACAGCGTGGTTTGGCGACCCCTGTGAAATGGTCATTTGACCCCAAATGGGGTCCCGACCCACAGGTTGAGAACCACTGATGTAATTGTAATATATAGTGTTGTTTTTAATTAGTTTTATATTTATTTTTAATCCCAGTTACATACTGGGAAATTGTATGCTGCTCAGGTTGGTTAATTGGAATAGTCCATAAGCCCTGTAAGTAAATAAATAAAGAAGTAAGCATCCTGTGTTGCTTCAGTAATAGCTGAGATATGGAGATGACATGGAACTTACAAGATACAGTTATTTCCTGTATCAGTGCTATTGTCTCCTGAGAGGAATAATAAAAGTATGGCAGGTAATGACAATGAAAATCCTTTCTACATGGATTCCATATTTCAAAAATTAGAGGGGATTTAATATTCATTTTTCTTCTTTTAACTATTGAAAGAATGAATTGTTCTCTTTTTTTTTAATTGACTACCTATCATTTTGAGGATCACGGTTTTGGCTTTCTAAAGGAAATGCAGGAATGGAAACGGTATGTTAAGACTTTGTTACCTTCCCTTTAATTTGAAGGATCTCAGTCCCCCCCTACTCAATTAACATCTGGTCAAGAAAAAGGTGGGACAAAATATAACTGGGACCCTTCAGTGTATGATAATGAGCTGCCTGTGCGATGTCGAAATATCAGCGGGATATTGTACAAAAACCGACTTGGTTCAGGTGAGGAATTTCATCCTATATTTTTCTGATCCCTGTCTTAGAGTTATGACAGAGTCTGTTTTTAATTTGATAGCAATGCAAATGTGGAATATAACTTAAGGAGAATTCCCTGCCTATATTCACTGTTCTCCTGTCCTCCAAAATTCCATCCAGATAACACCTTGGTCTGTTCTGAGAGTGAAGGGAGGAAATATTATCTTGGATACAAGTCACTGCATGCCTCATGCTATCTAAATGATAGCTATTTGCCCACTTTTCAGTATGATATGATACCTATTCCGTATCAAATTCATTCCAAACCATTAACATTGTTAGCAATTAAAAGTGGATGAATTGCCCAGAAGAAATTCTTCCCTAGACTTCATGTAATTCACCTCAGTGTTGTGGTTAGCTGTGAATGGGAAGAGAAGGAAAATGGACACTTGCATTGTCATGAAAGTGAATGCTCCCTTTTGTGAAACCATTAAGAGTGTTTATATTGGGAAGGCATTTTTTTTAATGGGAAGGGAACTATTAGTCTGCAGTTTGTGGGGAAAGCTTTTTGCAGATTTGTGTAAAACATTTGTGTAAAACAATTATTAAGCAGGAGTTGTTTCTTTGTTTGATCCTGTACTAGGTGGTCGAGGTCGCTGTATTAAGCAAGGGGACAACTGGTACAGCCCCACTGAATTTGAAGCTATGGCTGGAAGGGCCAGTAGCAAAGACTGGAAAAGAAGCATTCGTTATGCTGGGAGGCCAATACAGTGCCTTATTCATGTGAGATTACTTAGCATCTTTTTCTTCCTCCTGCCATATATGCCAAAATAAATACTACTGAATTCTAAATAAATTCTAAATACTAAATAAATACACATGGATTATGACCTTTGAAAAGAGTTTCATCATGTGCTGTATTTGTACTTATGTTTATACCAGGGGTCCCCAACCCCTGGTCTGTGGACCAGTACTGGGCTGCGGCATGCTAGCAACTGGTCCGCACAAACAAGGAAAGCCCCATCCACAGGATGCAGGCATGCCCCCTCTGGTCCGCGGAAAAACCTTTCTCCATGGTGCCCAAAAGGTTGGGGACCTCTGGTTTATGCAACATATTTCTTGAAAATGGAGAAGACCTCCAGCAAGGTCTTACTTAGGATAAAAATGACCAGACAATATATGTGGGAGTCGGGGAAGCAGTAAAAAAACTTTTGTAAGACACCCTTTGTGCATATCCGGCATGTTAATCCCTTACTGGGTAAGCAACATTATACGAAGCACAGGAAAAGAGAAGGAATGAATAAGCAATATATTGAAAGTGGGAGATGAGAGAAAAGAAAAGAAAATCTAACTAGTTTCTGGTAGTAGCGACCTTTCAGTATTCTTTTCACCACACAGTCGTATTTCATGACATCGTTTCATAAATTCCCTGTACTTTAGACAGCTCCCTATTTGCATTATTTGTGGTTCTTTAGCATCTGGAGAGTGTATGCTGTAACGAAGCATGACAGTGGTGGACTCAGAGGTGGGGGAACAGGACCGCAGGATAGGATACTAGATTGGTTGGCGTACTTTAAAGCTGTGTGACAACCAAGCTCTCAATGCTTGGAGAACTAGGAAGGGCTTCCTTGTTGTATTAATGCTGGATGGGTGTCAGTTTTTCCAACCTAAGATTGCTCTTTTCCGGTTTTAATATTTTAAGTAAAGCTTGTTATAAGATAAAATACAAACTGAAACAAAAGTCAGGAGAGAGGAAGAAGGAAAAGAAAGAAGAGAGCTTCAAAGAGAAAGGAAACAAAAGCAGTGATTGTCAACTCTTTTCAATGAATTAACAGCATTACAGCATTAACTTTTTGCTTTACATTTCAAATCATTTCTGTAACAACAAAATCAGTCTGGTCATCAAAACCTAAGCTCAAGTTTTCATTGTTTTTTCAGTTTCGAGCACAAAGTCCAGAAGCAATTTCCAAGTAACAACAAAACAACATAGATTCTTCTCTTTCATTAAAACTTTTGCCATCTCCACCAGCTTTATCATCTTTACTATCCATTCTTCCGTGATGGGAATTAGTGTGTCTTGCCATCCTTGTGCATATAAGATTCCTAATACTGCTCTTTTCCATCAATTCAGGATGGAATACTAAATCCCCATGCAGCCTCATGCACTTGCGCTGCATGTTGTGATGACATGAGTCTGGTGAGTCTACAGCTGCTGCTTGGATTACTTGATGATGGGCTGAACTGCTAGGTGCTGGTTATCACACAGAGATGATTTATAAATACTTTGGGCTGAAAGGTCCTTTGCTGGACAGGGAAAGGCAGCAAGGATACAAATGGGTCCTATCACCGTTTCCGATTGATATCCTCCTCTAATTATTGCAGTAGCAGGCTTTTAGGTAAAACAAATTATTACCGGGTTTTACTTAGTTTTGGTAGAAGATTATTAACAATAAGCATCCACTTTTGCTTTAAAAATATATTTAAAATCTGTGGTATAATGTGAGGCATTCAGAAATGAGCATTCCCTATGAGAACTTCCATCCTCTTGAACTGTTTACTTTTCTCCCCCCCTCCCCAACAAGCCCCTCCATGAGATTAGCTCCTTCCCTTACTACATTTTGGAATTTATTGGAAATCTGGTTGCCCTGCAGAGCCTTTGGGGACTCGGGAGTAAAACAAAATTACCTTTGGAGTAGGTAGAGAAATTGTCGCAATGGGTACTGGGCAGTCTGTTATAATTCTGTTATTGAACAGGGGATTTTCTCGGCTTATGTTATTTTGTGATTAGATGGATTAGATTTATTTATTAACCTTTTAAGCATCCCAATAATCAATTTGTAGTCAGTTTATAGTAAAAAAAGCACAATTCGAATTTAAACTTATCAAGTGAATCAAACGAACAATCAAAATAAATGCACCCACGAACCAGGCAGCAGCAAAGCAGTTACCAAAATCTAAAACTATATGATTTAAATTGCAGTCTAAAGATCCTGGAAAAATTGAAAAAAAAAAAAAGGCTTCATTTGGCACCAAAATGAGGTCACTGTGGGTGCCACTTCAGCCTCTCTGGGAACGACATTCCAAACAGGGATAGGCTCTCTCCCTTGTAGAAACTCCATCTCACCCCATCATTATTGGACAGTTTTTTCTGGCTGAAGTGGCATAGAAGTGCTAGCAATAAATAAATAAATATTTGGCATGATTTTTTTGGTCATTATTGTGAAGGTTGCTAGGTATAGGCAGGCAGGAATCTCAAGAGAAAGTTGGCTCCACTTTCTCTTAAAAGGAAAAAGTTACTCTTTCAGCAAAGCCTACATCTTCCCCATCCAGATGTATTCCAAATCTGCTGAACTGTACTTTTTGTCAATCGTAACCAGTCAGCGTATAGCATTTTATATTATATTGAACTGCGGTGACTATCAGACCCAGAGCAAGCAGTGTGGGAAATTGTAGTCCACCACACAAGGATCGTTGACACTTGAAAGCAGCTCGTTGGCAAAAAGTCAGAGTTGTTACATGAAAAACTGGTTGTCATGGTTCCGACAGATGAAACTCTTCAAAGAACTTCGAGGCATTGTTTACCTTAAAGAATCTTTATTTTGAGTAGAATAGCATCGGCACTGATATAATCGAAGCCAAAAACTAAATTTCCCTCCCCTGAGCACATAGTATCAAAGCACAATTCCCTCCTCCAATTAACAGTTATAAATCATATTCCCCAGTTAGCTTGAAGTGTTGGCTTCCTCTCCCTTTCTCCAGCCCACCAATTCCTTATCAGCTCTGGTTACAATAACCTTGTTTCTCACGCTGGGTCCAGCGTTGTTATGTCTAGCTGGACTCTCGCTCACATTCCCCCTCCCAGCATCATCTAACTGTAAAAGCAAAAGGTAAAAGATGGCTACATTTCCATCTGTTGTCAATGCAAAAACATCCGATGTTAGCAGCGTTGACACTGGACTTAGAGAAATATTGGGGCCTTCAAATTCTCAGATTTCACTCACATTGTGATCCTTTAAAGAATGTCATCTAACATGAAATGAAAATAATTTGGAGTACGTTATCAGAGTTGTCCTTTTATTTGAATTAAAAAAATAGCATATTATTTGAATTGAAATGTTCAATATGTTATTCAATACATTATTCAATAATGTTCAATGTATTGAATATTATTGAAGTTTCTTGTGCACGACAGCAATAGCAACTGAGCACTGAGCTGTCTGATAATATTATTTATAATGAAAGGATTTCATATTTATCAGAATTGTGGATGTAAGAAGATAGGGCTGAGTGGCTTTGGACTGGGATGCTTTGTCTGCAATATATAAATCTTTTAGATCCTGTTTTCAGTTCATTGGGTCAAGAAATCAGTTTTCTTTGGTGAAGCAAGCTATACAAGGTTTAGGTTATGTCCACTAGCAAAAAACAAACAAACATTAATTCTATCTCCAGAAAGAATTACTGCCATATTCTGATGTTGGTTGCTTTCTTTTTATCAGAGTGGTCCTGTAAGACTGTTTGTCCCCTATAAAAGAAGAAAAAAAGAGAATGAGTTGCCTACAACTCCAGTGAAGAAGGATTCCCCCAAAAACATCACCCTGCTTCCTGGAACCGCTGCCACCACATGTAAGGGTTCCATGCGATATTCACAGATGAATCCCAACTGTCATTTAACATTTAGCGTTGTTTTTAAAATGACAAAAATTTCCGTTTCAAAAACTGATATGCAGGTCCTGAGGTTTTGCTTGAGAAAAAATACGGGAAACCAGAACTTGCTGTCAAGCTTTACGTTTTTATTCAGCTGAAGAAAGAACGGGCTTCTCTACAAAGAGACAAAAGCCCCAAATATCGGAAAAGCCTTATTTTTATACCTACTTTGATTACATAAGCAATTCACCCAGCAAAGCTGATACACATAAGATAAAGACTTCGCCCTTTAAGGCTGGCACACTATAGATAAGAAGGAAGAAAGCAGTAGTAGCTAGTATGTTCCCTTATGGGTGTTTTCCCCCCGAGACACCATATGTTCACTGTTGGATGGTTTGGGTGTTTCCCCAAGACACCAGCTGTTACCGGGTGGGTTAGAATATTGGATATTTTCTTTGCGGTCCTTTCATGACCCTGCATTCATGGGCCTGCAAGTGGCCAGAGAGAGCTAGGCCATCTGCACGTATTCACAATTGATACTGTCCCCTAAGTCCTGGTCATCAAAACAATTAAATATTCAATGATCACTTTGTAAGAAAAAGCCTTTCCTCCTTTTCATCTTTGTCATTTTAGTATAAATTGCAAACCATCTTAAGTTTCCCTTTTGGTACCCTTAATCCTTGTTTGGTCTTTAATTACTAACTGGTGGTTATAATTGGAGTAATAACATCAAGAAAACATTTGCAAATGTTACTTAAAGTCTTATCCTCTGTATTTAATTTTAAGGTTTGCTTTCCATCTTAATCAAATGTGTTCTTTTTCGCCCTGAGCTGTCTTTTCGGTCTGTTGAACTGGCAAGCTTTTAGCCTTATTAATTTGGCTTGTTCTGTTTCTTTCACTAAGGGAAGAATGATTGTTTTGGGAAAGTTATCTCTATAAGCTCGGTGGGGTGTTAGTGCTGATTAGAAACAAAACCGGGGTCATCCCTTGATCCCTAAGTATTAGTATTCTACTTCATTCTGAAAATATTTTCATCATTTTTTTAGTCACTGTGACTCCTTCAGGACAGATTACGACTTCTGGAACATTGACCTTTGATCGTACAGCAGCTGTGGAGGCCACGGCGATTATCTCAGAAAGTCCATCCCAAGGTGATGTTTTCACTGGTACCACTGGTGAGTAAGACAAAGCCACATCCACACGTAATCAGGATACTTCTTTAAAGGAGTCATCGGGCAGTGCTGAAAGAAGATAGAAAACTTGATTAATAGCAGAAAAATAGAAAATTCTTATCAGTGAGTTCAGTGGGATTTATTCTCATATACAGGTGTACAAGATTGCAATGTAAAACAATTGCTTTAATCTAATGCCCAGCCTCAGGAATGAATCACAGATTATATTGTTGGAAGGGGTCATTTAAGCCAGGGGTCTTCAAACTTGGCCTTTTTATGACTTGTAGGAATTCTGGGAGTTGAAGTCCACAAGTCATAAAAGGGCCAAGTTTGAAGACCCCTGATTTAAGCTATTGAGCCCAATCCTCTGATGAAGGCAGGGCTCTAAATCAAAACAATTCAGAGAGAAGGTTCTGCAGTTCTGCTTGAGACACATCTAAGGAAGGAGAGTCCCTTAACCTCTGTAGGTAACTGATGCTCCCACTGTCAGGAAGTTTTTCCCAAGATTTAGTTGGAGCTTGCCTTTCTGTAGCTTAAATCTGTTATCTGCATCCCTTATATACAGCAACAGAGAACGTGCCTTAGCTTTCTTCTGATACCCTTTTCACTTCTTGAAGAATGCTTACTCCTTACTTTTTTTCAAGCCTGAATAACATCATATTCTTCATTCTCTCTTTATAAGACTAGCTTTTGGACATCCTCAGAGCCCTTGTCTGAACTTATTCTAGTTTTCTGAAATCTTATTAAAGTATTTTGCTTATTCAGAGCTCACCCTAGAAGTGGGGTCTGAACAACAACCAAAAAAGGGATGGATTCCTTCTCATGATTTGGAAATTATATGAAATTGCAATTTGCCTTCCCCCTCCCAACCACCTCACATTGGTAACCCATGTTCAGTTTGTAACAGTTTGTCGTCGTAAGCTGAGGTAATCCTCAGCTTACGACCACAATTGAGATGAGAATTTCTATTGCCAAGCAAATGGGTGGCGCCTGATTTTACTACATGTTTGCCACAATTGTTAAGTGAATCACTACAGTCATTAAGCAAACTCAGCTTCCCCTATTATTTTGCTTGTCAGAAGATAGCTAGGAAAGTCACCGTTGGCAATCAAATGACTCTAGGATGCTGCAACCATCATAAATACATTCTGGTTGCCAAGTGCCCAAATTTTGATCAAATAATTGTGGAGAGGCTATGATAGTCATAAGTGTGAGGACTGGTTATAAGTCAATTTTTCCACTGCTGTTGTAATTTTGAATGGTTACTAAACAAATGGTTGTAAATCAAGGACCATGTGTACTTCAAAATCTGTTTCACAATTATCATCAAACCGGATAGCCTGCATTTATTTCTGTTTCTTATTTTTTTTTAGTTTTGCACATGCCTTGTAAATTGCAATTTCTTATTTTCAGCCCACTTCTGTGACCTGTCAAGATTGTTTTGGACTTTAATTCTGAATTTGAGCATGTTAGCTTTTTGCTGTTGCTGTTTACAATTTTATATATTCTGAGCTTTCACTTTCCTGGCATCAGGTCTACAATTCTGGGCTACCTGTATGTATCTTCCTTTGTTTTGTCAAACTTTCTATCCAAAAGAATATCTTTTTTGTTTTCAGATCTTTGTTTACACCTATAGTGTCTTATTTTTTTCACTTATTGAAATTATTTGCCATTGTGCTTTTGACATCTCCTTTTTAAGAATTCCTATCCATTCTGAGGTGCTTTTATAATTAGTTTCTCTTTTCATGGACTCATATTTATTTTCTTAGTTTATAAAAAAACTTTTTTAAAGTCCAGGATTTGCATTCAGATCCGCTCATCTTAATTTTATTTAAGAAATCTTTTAAGAACTTAAGCATAATGTGATCAACTTTCACCAGTGTTACTGCTGCTTTGGCTCTTTCCTTGGCTATATCTTGTTGAATGATTAGTATCAGGTCAGAGATGGCTGCTTCTCCAGTGCCTTGCTCCACTCACTAAAAGAAAAAAGGTTTTAGTAAGATGTGTCAGGAATTTCCTGGAAGGACCATACTCTATGGAGTTTGACTCTCAAACAGATTTTGAGATAATTAAAGTCCTCCATCCCTAGTACTTCATGCTGCTTTGAAAGATTTGCAATTTGCTTTTGTAGAACAGCATCCATATTTTTTTCCCTTGGCTGGACAAGGATAATAGACATTATAATATTGCTTTTATTTGCTTCTTCCATTATTTTAATCTAAGTGCTGTCTAATATCGAGTTCATTTACCTGGATTTCTGATACTTGCAACATAAAGTACATTGGCTTTGTTCTCCAACTTGAATTATTTATAAAAATAATAAAGGAGGGAAAAATAATAAAGATAAATGACAACGCTGCTAACATCGGATGTTTTTGCTTTGACAATAGATGGAGATGCAGCCATTTTCTTTTTTTCGCTTTTAGAGTTAGATGATGCTGGGGAGGGGGGATGTGCATGAGAGTTCAGCTAAACATAATAATACTGAACCTAGCATGAGAATCAAGGTTGTTGAAATAAGAGATGATAAGAATTGGTGGGCTGGAGAGCTGGAGGGAAAGCCCACGCTTTAAACTAATTGGGGAATGTGATTATGACTGTTAATTTGAAGAGGGAATTGTGCTTTGATACTATGTGCTCAAGGGGGGGAATCCAGTTTTTGGCTTTGATTATGTTAGTGCCGATATTATGCTTCTCGAATAAAGATTCTTTAAGGTAAACAATGCCTCAAAGTTCTTTGAAGAGTTTCATCTGTCGGAACCATGACAATAAAGATAAATCCTGACAAGACAGAATCATATTAATGGACTGATTTTCTGTCCATTTTAGTGTTAGTTTGTCTAGATCAGTGATGGAGAACCTTTTAGAGGCCGAGTGCCCAAACTGCAACCCAAAACCCACTTATGCATCGTCGGGTACTGGGTGGATGTGGCCCATTGGGTGGCTGTGGCTGCAGTGGTAACGGCAGACTGGGTGGGACTAAAAAGTTCAACCAATCAATTCCAACTTTGTAAGATCTTTTTTTTTCCCGCAAGAAGTTGAAATTGACTGATTGATTGAACCTTTTTTTTTTTTTACACAGTGGTGGAGGTCTAAAGCGAAAAGGTTTTATAAAACGCAGCTAAAGGCCTAGGACTGGGGCGATGGCACGTGTGCCCACAGAGAGGGTTCTGAGTGCCGCCTCTGGCACCCGTGCCATAGGTTCGCCACCACTGGTGTAGATTAAGAATGGCTTAAAACCATTTTTAAAAAGTTGTAGGCAAAAAAAAAACAAAACCTCAAGTGGACATACTTAATAAATTGCATCACATGCAAGATATAAACATATTTTAAACAGCTGCAAAATATGGACTGAGGGATCCTCTCCGAACTTGATGGTTTTCTTGCAGAGGTTTCATTACGCAAACTAGTTAACAACATCAGTGCAGGAAATGTCTGCAGAAAGCAATCCAGCTCAGAGAGCACTGAGGACCCCTCCTTTCAACCGTGAGCTACAATATTCTCCTTTATTGATAAAATACGGATTTAAACATTATTAGGAAACTTTTATGTAAAGTATTTTTAAAATGATAACAAAGAATAAGGGCTAAACCTCTTACCAATACGTAGAAGTCTGCAGCCCTTGACACATTGTCTTGCCTAAGGATAAATACTGCACGTCTCTTTTTAAATTACCCAGATAATCCCGTCTTTGGGAGGATTTATGTATCACAAAATCATTTTATTTCTGACCATCTCGCTGGTGTTCTCATTTTGGGATTAGCAGTTTCCTTGATTCTAGTTTTAATTATTCAGATTGAAGCTGAAATGTATTTAGATTAAATAATAAATGCAGGAACTGGAGCATATTTTGATTTTATCTTGTAATAAACTATCTTTCTGGCTAAATTCCTTTTTCAGAACTGTCTTATTTTCCTTAATGCCTTCTTACCTTTTGTGAACTTCCAAGATGTAACATCCAAACCAATTCCTTTAGTGTCTGACTGTAGTCTCTTCTCAACAGTGCAAGATACAAACCTTCAGCCGCAACCTTGTCGGGTCAGTCATCCAGAGCCTCACTATCCAAGTTATCAAGACAGTTGTCAGATTTCAGCATTTCCCGAAGCAGCTTTGCCAACTTCTCACCCCAAAATTGGTAAGACTTCTTTTGTCTCTTAAAATAATCCCCGCATTGTTAAATTATATAATTTCAGTATTTTTCTGCCTGGGAGTAAATACAGTCATCTTTTGGAAAAATAGTAAGTCACCTGGGGGATGTAGGTGTGCTTGGGGGCTGCTGATGTTCTCAGGTAGGAGGAAAAGAGTGGGAATTATAGGTGGAGGGATGAAAATCCTTGGATATGAAGAAAGCACTGTCAAGGATCCAATTCAAGTGCAATGTTGTGTTAGAACTGTTGTTCTACACAGGCCAGATGATTGAGCCTTTGGAGATTGAAGCCATTATACCCTGGTAGTGATTGTGTTAAGGCAGTTGCCAACTCAGGTGTAGTTTTCAACTTCCTCGGGAACTGGGACTTTTAATTTGACTTGCACTGGAAAATTATGGAGCTCCCTTGAATGAGCAAATATTTCCTGGGAATATCTCTAGGTCAGGGGTAGGCAATCTTGGCTCTTTTATGACTCGTGGACTTCAACTCCCAGAATTCCTGAGCCAGCCATGCTGAGGGGAAATGGAGAGGTTTCCATGCTGAGCCATGCTGGCTCAGGAATTCTGGGAGTCGAAGTCCACCAGTCATAAAAGAGCCAAGGTTGCCTACCCCTGATCTAGGTCATAGCTCCGAACCCTCCCAGCCCCTCCCCCCCAATATGGTTCCTTGGTTTAGAGAAGAATTATTGCTGTCTTAAGAGGAGATGGAAAACTTCACACAGAGGCGCCATGAAGCTATCAGTTATACCATTTTGAATTTTTTAAGGTTTCCTGCATGAATATAGTGAGGTTTTAAAAGGATTTTGACAAGACAAGGGCACGCTCTTTCATGCAAAAGTGACAGACCATCACTTGAGGGCTATCTTACCACCCTCCCCATCTATGCCCTTTGGGCCGTCTGCATCCCTAGCTGACATTCACCATCTTCTTGCTCCCACCTTCTGACCCAGCCCGACCCTTTGTGAGACAGCTGTGGCCGCACAAGGCTTTCTCCCCAGTGTCGTGCACAGCACCTGCCTCGCAAAGAGCCAGGCTGGATGCCTTCTCAGCAACTAAGAGCAAGAAGACGCTGAAAGCCAGATGGGGTGATGATATGCAGAGCAGCAGGGGCCTTGGAGTACAAGGTGGCGAGAGCAGCTGGGACAGGACTGGGGGGGGGGCTAAAATTTTGGACTGCTGGGCCGGCTGGGGCTGGGTTTTGCGATACAGAAGGCTTCTGAGGGGTCAAGAAGCTCTTCACAGTGCAAAGCCAAGCCTTTCGCAGAAGCTCTTAGCACTCTTTGTGGGGCACTGCTGGGCTGGTGAGCGGCTTCCTAGGAAGCCCATCATCATGGTGCAAAGCCCTTAGCAGTGGAAGCCTGGTCCAGCAGTGCAGTGCAAAGGGGCTTCCTGGAGCTGCAGTTCTGGGATTCCCAGGATATGACCGTTTTGTGCCATGCTGCTGGGGCAGCTGAGGGTTCCATGGGCAGTGCGCTGCACTGCGGCTTAAGAGCTTCTTGCTGCCCAACAGTGGCATGCCAAGAAGCTCCCAAGCGGCAGTGCATTTTTTCCTTGGCCTCCCTGAGCTTGTGATGCATCACAGCACACCCACATGTGTGTGTGTGTGGTCTATGCTGGGCTTCCCTCCTCCCTTGCGGCATCCTTGTGTTCCTTATCCAGGACTCTCTCTGCTGCCCATTTAACAACCCTGGAGTTAATATCTGCAGTTATGACGGCAACTGAGACTGGTGTGATTGCTGCTGCTAAACGAGGTGGTCATGTGATGTCATGCTTTATGACGGTATGGCTTAGCAACAGAAATTCAGTTGTAAGTTAGGATCATGGACCATGCCCCTGCAGTCCAGAGAGGAAGGGCTGCCTCTGGGTCTGCCCCATCTTGCCTTTCAGGTAGCCTGTGCCTGGTACTGTGGATTCCCCTGCAATCTTGGATTCCACCTCAGTCCTAGATCCCACTTCTAACACCACTTGGGAGAAGTGGTGAAAGAAAGAAACATTCCACATAGATTCAGTAGTCAAATTTTGACTTTGTGGAAAACTAAAACAACTGGATTTGTAAAGGTTGAAAAAAAATCACTGCATATGTGGAGAAGTCTTAAAGTTATGAAATGTGTGCTGCTGCACTCCCTTCAGGAGCTGGATTTCACTAGCTCAGGGCAAGAGGGTAGGCTGCCTGGAAGTTGGCTAGCATCTGATGCTGATGGTGCCCTGCCCCTTTAAGACCTCTCCCTAGCCAGCCCAGCTGCTCGGCAACCAGCAGGTAAAAAAGCTGAGCAGAAAACCAGCTGTGTGTATGTTGTGGGGGGAGTAGTTGGTGCGTTGCTGTTGTGGGAGTGAGAGGGAGGTGGTTTTTATTCTTGGTGGAAATAGAGCCACCAAAGGCAGCCTAGGGCTAAGAGACAGAAAAAAAATTCTTTAGCACTAGGGCTCAGAAATTGTACTGGTCTTTAGAACTAATAGGAGTAGTAGACCTGGGGAAGTGTGTGAGAAAGAACAGAGTACTACCCATTGTGTGCTTGTGTGTGGGATGCCTAAAGTCCAAAGGGACTTGTTTTGGTCCTCTGGGGTTTGGTGAGCCCATTGACTTTGGATATAGATAAAAGAATCTGTGGCACCCATAAAACTGGTTTGTTACTTTAAACCAGGGGTCTCCAGACTTGGCCCTTTTATGACTTGTGGACCTCAACTCCCAGAATTCCTCAGCCAGGCACGCTGGCTGAGGAATTCTGGGAGTTGAGGTCCACAAATCATAAAAGGGCCAAGTTTGAAGACCTCTGCTTTAAACTGTGGATCGGGTCCACTGCAATTGTTCCAGTCGGCTTGTTCTATGGTTGGCTTCAGTTCTAAGATTTATTAAAAGTATATACATCCTGCTTCCAGATTCCTAGGCTAGTGAAAAAAAGCTCCTGAATTAAAGAGAAACAATTCAAAATCTCAAATATTCAAATGTTCTTGTATCGGGTATTTGTAATGCAACCAGAAATTATCAATGCTTTCCTATGATGAAACACTTGGTGGAAGCAGCTTAAATTACTGATTTTTGAACAGACCTGAACTGATCTGAGGGTCTTAGCTTGCTGCCTGACTCCTACCACAACCAAATTGAATGGCTGTGGATGACAACGAGGCAGAGGCAAAACAGGATGGATCTGGCCAACTTTCAGATACAGTTACTGGTGGATCAACCTCAATCTGTCTATTTTTTTTTTTTTAGTGTTGACCTCACTTCCTGCCCTGGCAGTGCCCCCTGCTACTCCCACTAAAACAATATCCTCCTCTGTGATGAATGGACTTGAAATGACAGAACAACGGAACTGGCTTTACCTAGAGGAGACGGTCAATTCTCTGCTTAACACAGCTCGGCAGCTGAAGACGCTGATCGAACAAGCTAAGCAGGCCAGCTCTTCCTACAGAGAAGCTGCTGTTTCTCAAGCGAAACTTCAAGCTGATGTGGAAAGGAAAGAGGTAATAAATAGTGTTTCAAGAAATGAATCCATCTTCGCCCCAAATATCTTATAGCCCTCTTTTAAAATGACCTATGCTGCTTTAGTAACTATTAAAAGGAAAGAGAGAGAAAAAACTCCCACCCCAATGCATGGCACAGTGACGATATGAATGTGGTCGTTACTATAGTCCAGAGGTGGCGAACCTATGGCACAGGTGCCAGAGGCGGCACTCAGAGCCCTCTGTGTGGGCACGCGTGCCATCGCCCCAGTCCTAGGCCTTCAGCTGGGTTTTATAAAACCTTTTTGCTTTAGGCCTCCGTCGCTGTGTGCAAAAAAAAAAGATCTCACAAAGTTGGAATTGATTGATTGAACTTTTTAGTCCCACCCAGTCTGCCGTTATCACCGCAGCCACACCCACCCAATGGGCACGCCCAGCCAATGGGCCACACCCACCCGGCACCCGACGATGCATAAGTGGTTTTGGGTTGCAGTTTGGGCACTCGGTCTCTAAAAGGTTCGCCATCACTGCTATAGTCTCTTTGAGTGAATTTTCCAAGTGCAACCATATAATGATTTTGGATTTGGTAGCATCATTTCTGATCTGCAGCATACATTCTAAAACAATGGGTTGGATTTCTTCCACTGTATTCAGAGCAACATAGTCTAAATGATTGGAGCTGCTAGGACTTATGTTCAACAGAAATATTTTCAGATCTGAGAGAGAGCTTAAACCAGGGGTCTTCAAACTTCTCTTTTATGACTTGTGGACTTCAACTCCCAGAATTCCTCAGCCAGGCACAGACTGAGGAATTCTGGGAGTTGAAGTCCACAAGTCATAAAAGGGCCAAGTTTGAAGACCCCCCTGGCTTAAAGGGATAGCAAAATGCATAATAGATGAACATGGAGTACTGCCTATTTATTTATTTATTGATTGATTGTTATATTTTTATTAGTTTTTTTTAAGTTTACAATTCATAAATGCTTGTTAAACAATGTGTTGTCTGGATCTTAGCCTAGTAACATATAATAAAATCCTAATCAATATCCCTTTTGTTTAGTCATTGGTAAAATACATTCCATATTTGAAAATATTCTGTATCTTCTTTTTCTTTAATCTTCAGTGTGAGCCTGTCCATTTCTGCATGTTCCAGTATTTTCTTAATTATGTCATCTTCAGATGGCGTTTCTTCATTTTTCCAATGCTGTGCAAAAACAATTCTTCTTAAATATGTTTTATTGATGTTTAACATAATCACCTTAATATTTGGTAAACAGCGTATTGTCTGGGTTAGTATTTACAAAGCAGTCAGTAAGTAATTTCTATAATTCTATAGTCCACAAATGGCTTTGCTTGATTTTCTCTTCTTCCAATAATATTCTCTTTTGCCAACCTTAAATTAATAATTTCTTATTATTGGAATAAATGACAATTAAATATAGACATTTTTCTCACATTTCTGAAAATAATAACCACATCAATATAAAGCTTCTAATTGATCATCTTGATTGCCTCGTCATAGATCCTGTTTACAAAATTCTTATTTAAATTTGTTTCCCCCACAATATTCAAAGGATTCTTACTGGTTAAGATTTTCTCAGAATTAGTTACACTTAAGTATTTAAGTCTTTTTTCTCATACAAACCATCCCAATACTTTTACATTTCTCATATCTTAAAAAAGGGGAAATAAACAAAAACAAAGCAAACATTTCTTTTATATAAACCATCCCAACATTTTTATATTTCTCATGTCAAAAAACAAAACACAAAAGAAAAAAGAAAGAAAGAAACCTGTATTACTTCAGGGGTTCATCCCTCTTAAACTCAGTTTTGTTTATATCCAAAATCTTTCTATTTCTTTAACCACATTCAAACAGATGTTTAATTTTTAAATATTCCCTCTGGTAAGTCCTATTATCTAATTTCTTAATTCTCCAAAAAAAAAAAAAACGCAAAAATAATTCTTGCTGCTGTTAATACATGTACCATTAAATATACATTTTCTTTCTCATACTTTCCTGAAATTACCCCTAATAGAAAAAATTCTGGCTTAAAATCTACATGCTTTCTTAACATTTTTTCTAACCGGGTGTGAATTTTTGTCCAAGTACTGCTTATTTATTTAAAGTATTCATATATCATTTGCCAATTAAACACCATCAAAATGGTTTCTGGTAAATAAGTTTTTACATAAAAGATCCAAATAAAATCAATAAGGTAGATAATAAAATAAGAAACCAAAGCAGTGGTAAGGAAAATAAAACATCACAGCAGGGTATAAAATTACACATTACTAAAAATTCTGGAAGAATAAAAATGTGTCTCTGTCACTCAGAAGACAGTGGAGAAGCTTCCAGGCTTACCGCACTATTGAAGGCCTATTTACCACACCACTGGAGAATATCCAGGTCTTTTAGGGTACTAAGAGAAATTTGCAGAAAGAAAATCTCTTCATATGCCATGATCCTAAATACTGGAAGCTTTATAGATTAATACCTAATAGCACTCTGACTTGTTTACCACTCCATAATGCTTTACAGAACTCTCCGAGTGGTTTACAATGTCAGCACATTGTCCCTAACAATCTGGGTCATCATTTTACCCACCTTGGAAGGATGGAAGACTGAGTCAACTTTGAGCCCCATCAGAACTGAACTTCTGGTTCTGGGCAGAATTAGCCTACAATACTGCATTCTAACCACTGTGCCACCTGAGCTCCCAAATAGCATTGGGATTGCAACCGAAATACAAATGAGAAAATATATGTAGTTTTCTAATATTAAAAGTATTAAATCATGCCTATTTTGTTTATAGCAGCATAGTTATGAATTCTATAGGCTGGGCAGTGTCGGATCTAGACTTGAGACAGGAGAGAAGCGGAGGAGGAAAGGCCATTACTGCTGTAGATTCTCTAAATGATGATGAGTTCAAAGAACAACAATGCAATAAAGTGGCAAAGTCAAGAAGGACCATCCAGAATTCAGTTGCACAGTTAAGAAGTCTCAGTGTGGTGAGGCAAGGCACAAGCCACGAGTTCAGTTACAAGCAGTGCTGGGAATGAAAGTGAGCCTGCTTATTTAACCACCAAACCGGGCATCTCTCTCCCAGTGCTTTTAGATGATTCACCTGGGGAGCCCTGTGTCTGCCCACTCTCGTCCTCAGGTCCTCTCTCTGCCTTAATTCCTGGAGCCTTCTTTGTTTGTGCTTTCTAGGACCCAGGAGGGAGGAGGCGTGGATTTCAAATAGCTGTTCTTCGTCAGCTGTCTCTCAGTACGAGAGATGCTCACTTTACTTCTTTTCTGATTGAGGCCGGGTGATTCTGTGGTCTTCCTTGGCTAGACGTTATTTCCTCCTCCAGGGCAGTCCTAAGAACATATTTATCACTTGCTCACTGTGTATGTTGGCTTAAGCTCACTGCTTTATAGCTCAGTTAGTTGCTTCACTTGGTTGCTTTTTTATTTAGACATTTGAGTAAGAATTTAATCTGACCATTATTTAATAAAATTTAAGAAATATTCCTCAGAAATAAATGAAATTGAACATTATACATGCTATGGTCAGAACTAAATCTGGGGCCTGAAAATTTCTTATTTTCTATAGCAGTGATGGCGAACCTTTTAGAGACCGAGTGCCCAAACTGCAACCCAAAACCCACTTATTTATCGCAAAGTGCCAGGGCTGCATCAGCATTGTGGTGCCCTTAGGGGGGCATGGGGGTGTAACCCACTGGGTGGGTGTGGCTGCAGTGGTCACGGCAGACTGGGTGGGCGTGGCCAGGGCCAGAGCGGTGGGTGCCAATCCCTCGCCATCTCCAGGGCATCCCCGGGGGGGGGGGGCAATGCCGCTTGCTTGCTCAGTTCCTGCCCTGTCGCTTCCAAACGCCATGTGCTCACTACTCTGGCAAACTCTGCTGGGGCAATGGTGCACGTGCCCATAGAGAGGGCTCTGAATGCTGCCTCTGGCACGCATATCATAGGTTCACCACCACTGTTCTACAGTGTCGATTTGCTTTTAGTACAGAGAGCTTTGTCAGAATCTACTGATAGTTTGAACTGTTCTTTACTGGAGTGGCTCCCAACCTGTTCAATATCGCGCACCCCTAGAACACTTCTGATATATTCTTGCACCCTTTACAAAAGTTCGAAATAACAGCAACAAATTATGCATATTCACTATAATTTTGAAAACCCCAGTTTTTGCACCCCCTGGAATATTGTCTTGCACTCCCAAGAGGCGTGGGCACCCTCAGTTGGGAACCCCTGCTTTACTGGAATGTGTCAGTTGGCCTGTATTGCTAATTATACCTGCTGTTGCAGGTTTTTATATCAGTATTCTTGAATTTTTGTCTACAACTTATTTATTTAAAATATTTATATAACCACCCATCGTTAAAGAGGAGTTGTATGTATCCATTTGAATGGATGTTGAAGTGGTTAAATTGGTTAACGTGTCAGTTGCAGCTACTTAGATTTGTTAAATATTGGGGGAAATTGTATAGTGTTTAAATCTGTAAAATGGTAAAATAGAGTATATACGGAAATTGTGGGTTTCCCCCTCGGGAGGCATTTAAGAAGAGATTAGACAGCCACCTTTCACAGGTGGTCTGAAAGTTGGACTAAATCAGTGGTTCTCAACCTTTCTAATGCCGCGACCCCATAATACAGTTCCCCATGTTGTGGTGACCCCCAACCACTTATACATCACCGGGTGCCAGGGGCGTGGCCAAAGAAAAGGGGGAAAAATGGCGGACAGCCTTGTTTGGCGACCCCCGTGAAATGGTCGTTCGACCCCAAATGGGGTCCCGACCCACAGGTTGAGAACCACTGGACTAAATGATCCTTGTGGCCTCTTCTGGCTGTTCTCTGTTTCTATGAAAATGAGGGAAGGGTTTTTGTGAGAAAAAAAATTTGTAAAGAATTTTTTGCTACTGGAATGCAAATCTGTTCAATATGACAGTCTCTTAATGGGACCCAAAAAAGTTGAGCTAACTTGTACGTAACAAACCAAGCAAATAACAATATAATTTCTTGTCACTGTAGAGATGTCGGGATCTAAATAGTAGCAGACATTAAGTGTTGGACAAGAAAGGAGATTACCACCTGCAAACTTTATCTTCTCTGTACAAAGCCTTCTTTTTCAGGGCTAGCAAAGCTACAGATGCAATTTCCAGCTGTGGGTTTTTGTTTCTTTGTTTTTAAGCACAATATAAAAGGAACGTTTGTGAAGTAACTGAAATATATACAGTTCTTTCTTTTATCTCAAACCTAAACATTTCTTTCCTAGTTGAAAGATAAACGATAGTGTATAATTTAGTACATGGAATATAAAATTTGATGTGTCTTTAAAGGTGTACACTCTTTAATATTACTTAAATAAGTCCTCACTCATGTTTATGATACAAGCACTCCACACAGCCCTATTTCCAAGTTACAAACTGTTTCTTGCAACTATACTTCCAAGAACAACATGAGGTACTTGTAAAAAGTAATTTATGATGTCTTTCAATTTTTGCAGTATCAGAATCAGTTATTTCAGCATACAGAAGATGTTGATGGAAAAACTGAAATTATTATTAAGGTAAGCCCGAAGATTGAATCTGAATGGTATCTAAGGACTATCAAGCTATTTCCATGTTGTTTTGATGCTAAATGGCGGTTTTTCAGTGGCAGCAGTCTAATGGCGGCATAAGCTTGAGCAGGCTAATGCTGCTGTGTCTAGGCTGGTTCCTGAGACAGCGACTTAACTCCCATAAGGGGTTGGCATTCATTTTGTCACCTTCCTTTAACCCCAAGTCTTGGAAGAGGCCAACATGGCATCCATTATTGTGTGCTTCTGATCTGTCCTTGTGGTTGTTACATTAATAGATGGTAGATGGGAGTGTATGGGTTGTTTTTTCATAGTGTCTAGTGAATTAGTAGAGGGTGATCTTTTTTTACCATCTGGTGCTTTTGGGAGGGGGGAACCTGGGAGTAGGCAGTGCCCTAAATTGCCTTTACGAATAAGAGAAAGTGATACCCCAATAGTTTAGTGGGAGCAGATTGCAGTTGGTACAAAATGTAGCAGCACAGACTGTTATGAATGCCTTTCAATCTATACATTTTACTTCTTTGCTCCATGAGCTGCAGTGGTTACCAGTGTGCTTCTGAGTTTGATACATTGTGCTGGTGGCTACCTATAACGCTCTCCATATCATGGGGCCAGCTTACTTGCAAGACTCCTCCCCCCAGTTGTGTCTGCCCATCCAGATGGATGAGCAACCATGTTTACATAATCTTCCTTGAAACTTGTCTACTATTAGCTGCATGGAGAAAAATCAGAATGTTTCCCCCCCCCCCAAGTATTCAAGTAAATTCCTTGGAGGAAGAGTTATTCAGGTCTCCTGCTTCACAGCTATTTTGGTCCTCCCTTTTTACTAGGCCTTTTGTCTTTCTCCATTTACCGAGCTCTTTATGAGTGTCATGACAAGTTCTCATTGGGTTACATCCCCTAGACTCGGCTTTGCATACAGCGGCTGAAATGAGAGAAATCTGTGACATTTGTTGTACTTCAGTTTGCAGAGAATTTATTGGCAGAAGGTGCAAACAAATTAGGTGTTAATTACTGTGAAACAGTTGAGCCTGAGACCACGTACACCTTTCTGCATTATATATGGCCTCGGCTAATGCTTTTGCAGCAGGGCAATTTATTCACAATTCCTTCCTGTATTCACCTTGTACAGAGACACCAATCATGCCTAAGTAATGATATGAATTGCAAGCTAATTGAGCTGTAAATCCATCTTCCATGCCCTCCTCTTCTGTTTGGAATGAGTTGTTTGAGCAGACAGGTTAGAAATACAAAACAAAATATTTTTCCAAATGACCTGAGGTTTCCTATTGCATTAAAACCTGTGGTCTGAATATAAGAGCTGATGGTATTAATCACGTAAACTTAAAAAGGTCTGGCTTATCTTGAGGCCAGTTCCTTAACTTCGTGTTGTTCCATATTTTATTCCCTACCCACCATTCCACATTCTGTTATTAACAATTCAGAATCATTAGACTTTGATACATCTCTGCTGCTAGCATGTTTTAACCATAAAACTACTGAGAAATGCCAAGCTGACTACTCTTTTGAAGACTCTTGGTCCTGCCCCAGTGCAAATCAAGAAGTACTAATATTCATATTCAATTGCAGCATCGTATTTTTTTTCCAGCTGCATGTTTATTATATACTAGCTCAGTGGTGGCGAACCTATGGCACGGGTGCCAGAGGTGGCACTCGGAGCCCTCTCTGTGGGCACATGTGCTGTTGCCTCAGCGTTGCCTCCCACCGTGACCCCCTCCTCTCCAGCTGCCCCCCTGAAGGAGACTTGCCCTTGAGTGTGGCCCACACGGAGCAGCACAGCCAAGGACATGGCAGCCAGGTAGCGTAGACAAGACTCTGCCCTCACACCCCATTATGCAGTTGATGCTGCAGAGCACGGGCAGAGGGTGTGGCCACCATAGTGCTGCTGGGCTGCCTGGGTGATCTGCGGCGGGCCCTGGAGACAGTGAGTGGTCCTGTGGGCAAGCGGGGCGGGGGATGGGGGGCAGAGCCGGGGCAGGCAGGAGGATGGAGCGAGGGCAGGGCCAGTTTTTAGGCACTCAGTCTCTGAAAGGTTCGCCATCACTGTACTAGCTGTTCCTGGCCACGCGTTGCTGTGGCTCAGTCTGGTTAACTGAAAAAGAAAGAAAAGAGAAAGCACACATTTGTAATATGTTTAATTTCACAATGCTTGTGGATATACAATATTTTTTGGTGTTCCATTGTCTGTGCAGATATAGAAATTGTCTGAAATTGTAGTGTGTGTTGCTTTTACGTCCAACAGATGGCACTGTTTTTCAAAAAGGCATGTTTTTGCCTGTCACAGGTGTGACATCTATATAATATAGGTATATAAAAACACACGTGTATTTGAATGCAACGTTGTGTCAAAATTTCAAAGCAATCGGTGAAGAACTTTTGGAGATTTAAGATTTTGAACAAACGAACATTTACATTTTTATTTATATAAGATAATTATGACCTTTTTAAATTTTTAAATTCCTGTCCATTTGGATAAGGATGGTCTTTTTTTTTTTATGGTATAGCAGTAAGAACTTTGCACTGTGCATCTCAATTCTTGGGACTTCCAGGGAAGAAAAGGCAAACTGAAGATGGCTTTGCTAAAAGCAGATGATACTTTAAGGATTTGTTTATAAAGAAAAAATGGGCAATGGGAAGAAGAGATTATTTATTGTATTTTAAGCAAAGATGATGTTACTTAAATTGTTTATACTTGTTGTGAAGGAGGGGGAAGTAATTTCATTATATATTTCTTTTTTTTCTTAGTATATTCTTATTTTTTTCTATTTTTCTTTTCTGCACCTTCAATTTTTATTTTTTTTTCATTTTTTTATTTTTTTATTTATCATTGTAATTGCAATTTTTAATAAAATTACAATTGAAAAAAAATCTTTTTACAAAGTAGATTAGTGGCACTCAAAAGTTCCTAGTAATTGCAAATGCATGTGTGTGAGGGATCTGCACTAGATGACGGTAACATAGTATTTTTGCTTTTCAGAACTTTCTGTTCACTTGCAAGTTGTCCTGTCTTCTCAGTTTGCTGCAACCATTATAGTCAGAGACAAATAGATACTTTCCAGAGTCTGATAAAGACATGATTTTTTTTTTACTTCATCAGTATAAATATGGGTTGTCTTTGGTTCTTAAAAGAAGTTAGAGAACTTATTTTAATTATGAAGAGTACCCAGTTTCTGTATTAAGAGGAATTGTACCGGTACATGGGTGGCAGAAATAATGTATGACTACTTTTTTTTATACTTCATGTGCAACCTCCTTTTACTTCCATTTGACTTGTATTCTTTGCCTACAATCTCACAGCAATCCTGTGTAAACTGTGGCCGGGAGGCAATGAATGAATGCACCGGTTGCCATAAAGTCAATTACTGCTCAACGTTCTGTCAGCGGAAGGTATCACACCTCTTATGAATACAGTTGTCCTGCAGAGCTGAAGAAGCAAGTGCCCATGTATGATCTAGTACTTTTGAGCAACCAACAATGATTATATTACCGTAGGAGTACTAGGTTAGAGATGCAAAAATCCAGCTCTGTAGCAAAGAAAACCCCAATTTCTGATCCCATGTAGTAGTTGTTTGGGTTTGTAGACCAGACCTTGTATCCCTAGACTAAATCAAGAAAAAAGGACTATTTTCCTTCTAAAAAATAGGATGGAGGAAGAAGTTTCTCTTGTTTTTATTCTTTTTGGTTTTCACCTTTTGGTATGAAAGCAAAACACTTTTAGAAACATGGATCTGTTTAGTGGCAGAGCGGTGATTAGATGCCCAAGCAATCGATTCTTTTGGATCCAGAGACAATGAGCAATTTTAAGTTTTATTATAAACTCAAAGAAATAAACTTAAAAGGGTAACATATAAAGCATAGATACCAAGTAAAATGATGCCCAACTCTTACAACTGTTAGGAGCTCCATAACGGAACCAACCGAGATACTCCAAGGGTAGGCCACTTCACCCAATTTTATTTATTTATTTATTAAATTTATTTGCCGCCCATTTCAACATGAGGCATTTCTGATAAGACAGGAAATATGACCAAATGAGCTAATTCTACTATATTGAAAGGTTACATTAACAGAATTTTGCAAGTCTGAAAATACTTCTCTTCCCCCCTCAGAGCTTCCCAAAAACTAGGGGGGGGGGTTTCTGAGCCTCTTGCCCCACCCACATTCCTGCTGCTGGCTGCCTGATTTCTTGGCTGCATCATATTGCCCTGTCTCCCAAGGTCATTCCCACATATCATTATGTAACAGTAGCATTCCCTGCCCCTGCTGTTATGTTGCTGTACTTTTACTTCACTCAATAATTGCTTCCAGTTCACAGTCTGTCTCTTTTTTTGTGCTCATTTTCAGGATTGGAAAGACCATCAGCATATGTGTGGGCAGTCAGCTGCAGTAACTGTTCAGACAGAAGATGATCATGATACAGATAATGTGATTGAAAAAGTTATTGTCTAAAACCTTCTTTCTTCCAATTTTATGGATTGCGTGGTGCAGCAGACTGGCTGGACCAGAAATTCTTATGTGAAGTTCTGTGATAAATAAAACAAAACAAAGTGACGCATAAATAAAATCCTTCACCGAGATGGTGAAGGCATAGTATTACTTGAATGTTGCTGGCCAACATATGAATTTTCTCTAACCAAGCAAAAAATTAAACCTTATGGGCATAAGAGCATCAAAGAGCTCTGTTGTTAATTTAAGGGAACTTTGGAAGTTGATGGATCTTTACAAGCTTTTCTACAAAGCTGCTGTAAAACAAATGGATTATGGGGATTCTTTGAAGTATTTTGAAAATGTTATTTAAAGCAGCTTTTGGGTCTGTGTCCTTTTAAGATTCCTCTGATGAGGTTTCAATAAAGATTGTAACAGCAAAAGGTCTTTGTGATTCTTGTTCAAATATGAAGCAGTTCTACTTTTCAGTAAATTTAGTTTCCTAATGACAATTAAATCTTACCTAAAACATAGATGGAATCTGATTCTATTAATGATTAATGATTTTTTTGTTGTGTTATTTGGGAGTTTTCTGTAAAAGTTCTCCAATACGATAAAAAGCCTTTATAGTGCCCACTGTGCTGGAAATATCATGAATCTTTTGTAATTGTTACACTGATAAATGTGGAACATTTGAATACTTACAGAGAATAATTATTCAGTAGTTAGATTTGAAGGTCTTGTAGGAAAATTCAAAAGTGAAATCTCCCTTGTTGAATTCAACATTTGAAAACTATAGGGACATACTCATATGATCTTAATTGTAAACATACAGAAGTGTTTGGTCCTTTCCTTCTTTCAGTATTTTTTAGATCCCTTTCTCACCTCAGATTTTGTTGTGGTCTCCTAAGTAGCATGACCCTGCTTTGTTTTTTCAAGATCAACCCAGATCACATAGCTGCTGTTACTAGCTATTAAACTGGGGGTCCCCAACTCCCGGGCTGCGCCCCATCTCAGGGCCTTGTGCTGTTCAGAACCAGGCCACAGAAGTGGCAGGCAAGCACACACGCGCATCTCCACTTTGGCAAACAGCGGGCGAGCATGTGCACGTGCTTCAATTGCACGAGCAGCTGACACGCTTGCCACTCATGGAAATGGAGCTTAACACGCACATGTGCACACTTGCCTGCTGCTCACACTTGCAAGAAACCATTCCCTCTCTCCTTGCTGGTCCGCAAAGCTGAAAAGGTTGGGGAAATCTATTTTAAATAATTACACTAATGGTCCATGCTCCTGAACCCTGTAGACTTCAAACTACAATCTTATTATTCTACTAGACTTTCTCAAAAATCTACTACAATACAGAGTAGCACAAATAGCAATTTTAACATTACTGAATTGCTTGTTGTTCCAGAGAAATGGTAGAATTTGTCGTATTGGAGACTGAAACAGCAACAATTATACTTATTTGTCAGTCACATACCACTGAGGAGATGTTATTAAATCACAGCTGATTGCAAGAATACATAGGTATACACACTGTAGTATATTGTAAATCAGAAGTACCACAGAAAAAGTATTGAAACTTTTGAACAGTGGTATTGTAGATATTCAAGTAAACAAATAAATGGATGATAGAACAAATTAATCCAGAGTTCTCACTCAATATGATCACAGGCTCAAATTATCATATTATGTGAGACATGTAAAGAGCCAGCTGTCTTGAAAAATCCATAATGTTGGGATAGGTGGAACAAAAAAGAGAATGACCAATAAGTTGAATGTATTTGATTACTATGGTGATGGGCCACAGTTGGCAGATCTGAAGAGTCGGGCTGGGAATAATCTGGGAGAGTCTGTGTGGTTGCTAAGAGTTGACATTAGCTTGATAACCCTTAGCAATTAAAAACATCAGATATGGTAAATCGATGGAATCAAAACAGTAGTTTCCATCCAATAACATACAAATCTTTTTTCTTTTCTTTTTCATCTTATATCTCATTTTTTGTTCCAGGGGGTCATCAGTTTTCTAGGATTTATTTGGGGGACATGTAATCAAAGAGGAAATAGATCCCCCAAGGCACCTTTTCTGCTGTTGGAAGAAGGATATGGCTGTTCTCTTATAATTTTGATTTTCACACTTCTGAGTATACAGATGAAAAAAATAGACATCTTTTGAGAACTCAGTGGAACTCAGTGATCAGATCATTAAACATTTATGCATCACATTTACAGCTTTCTGTTTGTTCTGCCAAAAATAAAAGCAAAGGTGCAACTGTGTATTTCCTCACTTGAGGAGAGAGAATCTTACATCCTAGCAAGAAAACTAATTTTGAAAATAGCACTTTTTGAGCGTTAAAATCACAATAGATTTTTTTTTAAAGTACTAGTTTTAGGCAAAGTAGAAGAAACACAACTTTAGAGATATTGATATATCTGGCTAGTCACAGAAATGTGTTTATAAATCAATCATGTGTATATATATTAGATCTAAGCAACAATACAGCTAAATAAAATAGCTCTAAACAGCTATCTAGGCAAACATTCAAACTGAGGTAAAAGACTTGTTTCAGTGCAATGTTGGTAAATGTCGTAGGGGCGTTCATGATGGAATTTCTAAATGTAACAAATACATATTTTTAGTTGTTCCTAAATCTGCTTTTGGCAAGACATTGTAAAGGGAAGATGAATGACATTTGGAGGAAGGACTTTATACTGTATTTGTTTGCCCTCATCAATCAAGAGCACCAAAAAAGCCACTGTATGTACAGTAGCAGAATTGCCACCCCCCCCCATGCTGCTCATCTAATCCCTATCAGACTAGAGGGTGACCAACTCCATATATTGATATCTCAATACGCCCCCAAAAGTATCTGGTATGATGGTCCCATGTTGGGAAGATAAGAGACGTGAGTCTGTATTTTCTTTTCCTTCCATAAACATAGCTATAAGGTCTTTACACATTGTAGCTTCTTCAATTTCTTTAGTATTTAACTGCAGGGACACTAAAGTGATTTCAGCTACTTGCTAATGCTTTGATTTACTAGCTATATTGAAAAATGGAGATGATACATCACCGCAATCTGGTCAACCTCTCCTAAGAGGTTCATGTTCACCTATTTCCATTTCTATTGCTCTCAAAATAAAGAGAAACAAAACGGAATACTATTAACATCTAAGCAAGAGACCAGTCTGCTCTCTCTCAAATCATTCCTGTAGGAAAGGAATCCTGCATATATTCTCAAAGCTAAGAGTCTACTCAAACGGGTACCACATTAATTACAGTATATTCATTTTATGTTCTGTGTGGGACTGATGCCTTTATTCTTGTTTTGGGGGTTTTTTTTGTCCTTAATTCCCAGATATTCTTTTTTATATCTAGATATTTAGATTAGATTTTTATAAGAGGGATTTCTTATTAAAGCATGCACAATTGCCTAAATATATTGTTATGTTTTCAGAATTTTCATAAGGTTAAAATTTGTACTGTGGGAGTTTGGGCATACAAAAAAAAAAAATAAAAAAAAAATCCAAAGGATTTTTTAAAAACTTTCCTGAATCTCTTTCCTGAAGAGAAGGGTCCACATAAGAATAGCAAATGTATGTCCAGTGGGCCAGAATTTGGTGGATCAGGAAATTCGACTGAAGTGTTGCTATAACTTTGGAGAATTTTCAAAGGGGAGGGGGAAATTAAATCCTCTCCCAGATCAGCAACTATTTTCAATACAATAGGACTATTAATGCTTGTATATGATCAGGACTAGAGGATGAGCAAATATAGGCATATATTTGCCATGCTATTGTCATGTAAATTATCCTCGTAATGTTTTTCTGATCCCATGGCACACCTAGCTTGATCAAACTGATTATGCATCTTATCCATGCCTTTGACATTGACCAGCACTCTCTAAGCTAGCGAAATGCACAAACCATTATACTTATAATGAGCATAGTTGTTTTTTCAGACCTATGTCTGTTTTCTCAGTTCCTAACCCATCACCTCCTTGGCAAAAGATTCTAGGCATTAAATACCTTCTGATGGTTAATTATTTTTACAAGTGAGGAAAAATATCCCTAGATTACCAGAACCATCAAAACATGTATAAATTCTTACAGCATCACTCAAAAGATACTTCTACAATTCTTTGGGGGAAAAGATGCTGTCATTGTGGGACAACCATCACAAATGCTTCTCTGAATAAATGTTCTGCTTGAATGGAGGACAGATGGCAAACCCAAATGGGGTATTTTTCTCAGTCAACTTAGAATATTATCATGAAGTCTCACAAATATAATGCATCGGTTTCAGGCCATTTTTGCATTCTCACCAAATATGAAGGAACTGTTCTCTAGAAAGTAGTATCTTTATCAAGTGAAAAAATTGACACACACAAGCATATAATAAGAAATAAAGCTTTATTAAACTATACAAAGACAATAATTGGTCTGGCTCTTTGTCCCGTGCAATATACTCTCCTTTCTTCTGGGTTCAGTTCTAGACAAAGAATCCAGCAGAGTTAGCAGAAGATGTGCAAAACTTTGCGGAAGTAGTTCCTAAACTCAGTGTTGAAGATTGTATAGATGATAGGGTTGAGGGCACTGTTGACATAACCCAGCCATGTGACAATGCTGATTACTTGGCCAGAAATGACACAGGACTCACAGAGAGCTCTGGTTATGTGCACCACAAAGAAAGGAGTCCAACAGAAAAGGAAAGCACCTTTGAAAAAGAGAGAGGGGGAAAAAATTAGCCAGTTCTTCCCTGCATATGTCTTATTTTCTCAAAGGTAAACATGTCAGTTTTGAACAGTGGCATATCGGTTTTTAAAATATGAGGAAGGAAAAAAAATCCGAGGTTACCTTTTAATAATGTGAGGTTGCCATTTCTGATCTGCCTAAATTCTTTGCATTTGAGAATGCTGAAATCTATTTAATTTCCCCATTCTTGCTGCGTCTGGTTTAAATGTACCTAGCACTGGTTGAATGAAACAGCAGCAGACACAGCCCTACACCAGTTTGTATATAAACTCAAGGTCTCTTGGAATGCATATTTATTTATTTTTGTAAACAAATGGATACTTGCATATCCATTAAGATATTAATTGAAGCACTGGCTCCTTAGGGATCTTGGGGTCAGGAAGATACAGTGCAGATGGTGTGTAAACGCTGTCTCTGCAGGCCCCAGTAGCACCTGCATTTACCTCGCTGGAATTGTAGAAAAAAGATCTTTCTGTAAAAGCTGAAACTAGGCACACAAGGTTGTTGGTCAGGGTTTTCTGCAATGCAAAAGCATCTTGTCAAACTGGGCTATAAGAAACAATTTATGGGACCCCAAAATGCAGAATATACCTAGAGAGTACTCTTGACTTCACTATATTTTGCTAATTGCGAGGGGGACTTCAGGGATTAAAACCAAAAGAGTCAACATATTCCAACAGGTGGGTCAGGCTAAACACAATGTCATTAAATGAGAAGCAGAGAGGCCTCACAATAGGGAGGGAATAAAGTTACCTCTTATCCAGCAGAAGTGAGTAAGCAGGTGGGTGTTGGCTGGCAAGGGACTGGGTAGAAAATGTATTTATGGGTCTCTGTTATCTATGAGCCTCTTCCTGTGATGGAATGTAATAAAGAGGCAGATTCCCAGGAGGGAGGAAGTGCATTCCAGAGGGGTAAGAGACAACTCAGTCTGGATGTTATGTATGAGAGAAAGAGGGTGAAGACAGCGCCTCCCTAATAGTTTACAGCAGTGGTCCTCAACCTGTGGGTCGGGACCCCATTTGGGGTCGAACGACCATTTCACGGGGGTCGCCAAACAACGCAGTCCGCCATTTTCCCCCCTTTTCCTTAGCTGTGCTACTCCCTTTTATTCTATTGGCTTTTGAAAGCCAATAGAATAGACTCTCTTGAATAGAGTCTAATTCTATTGGCTTTCAAAAGCCAATAGGAATTGTCTAGGCTGTCTCTGCCTTGCTGAGCCCGCCAAAAGTGCCATTCTGCAAACGGTGCTGCACCAGTTGAGTAGTCCTCGACTTACGACCGGTTGAGTAGTCCTCGACTAACAACCGGTTGGGGGTCGCGGCATTAAAAAGGTTGAGAACCACTGGTTTACAGAGTAAATTGTAGATGCAGAGTCCTCAATCTGGCAAGATTTTGTCTACAGGGCCTGAAACCCAAAAAAAGAACACAGCTTGGAAGAATCACCATGTGTCAATTTTGATTTTAGGTCTGACCTTTCCTAGGTGACATGATAGCAGTGTTCCAATATCTAAGAGGCTTCCACAAAGGAGAGGGGGTCAGCCTATTCTCCAAAGCACTTGAAGGCAGGACAAGAAACAATGGATGGAAATTAAATCAAGGAGAGAACCAACCTAGAATTAAAGAGAAATTTCCTGACAGAACAAACGATCAATGGAAGTTCTTGTCTCCAGAAGCTGTGCGTGCTCCAACACTGGAGGTTTTTAAGAAGAGATTGGAAAACCATTTGTCTGAAATGGTATAGAGTTTCCTGCCTGAGCAGGGGGTTGGACTAGAAGGATTTCAAGGTCCCTTCCAGCTCTATTATTTGATTTTTCTGTTACTCTGTTATTCTTTCCACTCTCAATAGCTCTTCCTTGCTCTTTATCATATTGTCTGTTCAATCTTTGCTTCACTTTCAGAGCATGCTCAGTCTTCAGTGGGCATTTTATCTCTGAAGAAAAATATTGTCTTTGTTCTAATTTTCAAAGTCCCTAAGAATAACCCAAATCAGCAGTTAACTCCCCTGTTATTCAACAAATTCACATGCAGTCCAAGTGGAAGTCCTAGGTCTGTGTGAGATCTCAGGGAAATCTCGGTTCTTGAGCATTCATGAAACACTGGCAGGTTGTCTTCCTGTAGCTCAGCGGTTCTCAACCTATGGGTCGCGACCCCATTTGGGGTCGATCGACCATTTTTCGGGGGTCGCCAAAGAAGGCGATCCGCCATTTCCCCCCCCTCAGGGGGCAGCACCGTGCATGCGCACCGCGCATGGGGCCGCCGCCGCGCATGCGCGCTGTGCATGCGCAGAATGTTTGTGTGACGGGGGTCGCCGTCACACAAATGTTGAGAACCATTGCTGTAGCTGCTACAAGGCATGCCCAGAAGGTAGCAAAGGAAGAACCTAGCCTCATTGGAAAATTGACTTTTCTTCCTGGCAGGATGTTGCAAAGCAGCTGGAGGCTCTTGCATTGAGAGCACTTTGTAGGAAATAGCACAAATCATTTTGAAATCTGCAGTAGCAAGCACATCCCTCAATTTATACAGAGCTCAGCAGAGCACTGCTTAAAACTCATTTGTTTTATTCTTCAGCTATCTTGTTTAATTAGATGTGGATCCTCTTTTCTTGCTGGAGAAAGGACACAATGATCTTTGGGGCTGTTTGGTGTCAACTTAAAAATTATTTTTAAAAGGAATAAATGGGTATATGCATGGAGGATTTGGCCTTAGATGAAATGTTGGTTTTCATGGTATTTCTCTTTTTAATCGGTCTCTGTAGCTGGATGGGTGGGGAATTACTGTGTTGCTGATTCAGGGAAGATGTAGAGCCAGTTCTCAACATAAACATCTGAAATCATAATATTTTGCAGTAATATTGAGTCAAAGGGGAAAAGGTGATTTGCAGTCTGCATGGACACATGTTGCACTTCTCAGAGCTTTTTTAAATCTAACATATATTTTCCTGTGATCACATGGTTGCTTCTTTGCAGAATTACCAAGAATGCAACGTGTGTATAAACTGGCAACCTGAGTATGTGTACATAGGCTACCGGGGATTAAGGCATACTGACAACACCCACACCCAGTCCACTCTTACATACTATGTATGTCGTAGTTTTTGCAATATAATGCATTTTCCACTTTCCTACCTTCAACACCTATATTCACCCATGTGGACTCTGAATATCTTTCGCTTTTGTATCTGGATTGCTGCAAGCATATCCAGGGAAGACAGTAGAGCGTTTTTCAAATGTGATTCTTCCAAAGGGAGGCTCTGGTATGGAAATGACTGTAAGGAGCTGGAGATCTTTAATGTTGCTAATATTCAGCTGTAAAGTGGTTAATATGTCATCTAACTTTCATTAAAATGCAGACAGGCTGGATGTGCTCCGATTCACACCCACAAATGGCTTATGTTACAATGGAAAGGTTGTGCAGTGAGTGAGCCACCACAGAGGCAGCTCTATTCACAGACCTGAGTGTCAAGCAAGGAAGAAAAGAGCAAGAGCATCTACTTCTTGGAACATTTCTTATCTGTCCTTCCTCTTTCGGCATCACATTTCCAGATCTGCAAAACCTAGCCTGCTTTCTGACTGAGGAAAGCAAATTTTTGTAAGAAGCTCCATCGCCAAAGTGCCAAAATTAAAATGGCATTTTCATATGCAGCAGATGCCCTTTGCCATTCACAACTCTTCCCTTTTGTTGAACTGAATGTGGCTGCATAAATCCAGAATACTATAGATTGCAATAGAAAGAAAACTAGAAACTATTTGTGTTGTCAAAATGGTAATCCACTATCTGTTGGTTGTCCAGATACTCTATGTGCTCCTTTACCGAATGTCAAAGGGAATCCTAAACTTTTGTTCAATCACTGGATCAGACTGCTCTTCTGTGGATAGTCTGATATAAGGAGGATTTGGCAATTCAAGCAATGTAAAGAAACAAAAATAGAGGAAAAATAAAATTCTCTAGGTAGATTTTAAGATGTTGCAGATCCTACTGATATGAGTGGAATCTATTTCCTGGTGCCTATGCTGCACCTACAGAAATTTGGAACATGTTTAGAATAAGGTATTACAGCACAAGGACAGCTACACAAATGTCAAAATTAACATGAATCGTTGTTCTGTACTTTTATTTTAAAAAAGAGAGAGAGGATCTGAAGTTCATATTGTTTTCTTCTTTGCCCATTCTTAGCAAATAAAAAGCCCAGCTGTTCTGCTACTCTTGAATGCAGCTTGAAATCTCTGTATAGTTTGAATGGCACAATCAATTCATAAGCACAATAGTATATATACAGGATTGAGATCCCCGATTTATCTCCCGCCCAGAGAACAGTATGCCAAAACCTGAAGCGGAAATCTGGATAGATTCCAGAGGGCATGAATCATGCATGGAGTTCAGCGCATGTCTGAAACAGTTATTTGATGAAAAAAATCCTGCTGTCTTTTCAGATTATCCTCAAAAGATCAATAAATCAAGGAAGGACTGATTAACTAATCAGATCAACTGGCCCGGGTGGGAAAAAATTGCTTATCTGAATTGAGATGTCTGAGCAACTATGGGTGGATATTTTTGTGCCTAAAGAAAAAAGTCTGTGGCTTGAGGGCCTATCCTGGATTTGACACTGTCAGGGCAAAAAATGTTAACTGCCAGGGTATCTTTTATGAGCTAGCTTCATTTCTGTTTTTCAAGAACATGAATGCTGCAATACTCATCTCCAGTCAGAACTACTGCAAGGGTGAAGTTTCAACTTTTGATTCATAGGAACATAAGCAATGACCTACTGGATCAGACCCCTGGCCTATCTAGTCCAGCAATCATTTCTCACAATAGCCAACCAACTGCACAAAAACTGGGACTGAACAAAATCTGAACTGTCATCTGAAGGTCCCTATTTGTTGTTTTTATATTCCCTCATGTTTGTCTACTGCTATCCTTTGCAGTTGCTCTGATGCATGAACGATATATCTCAGAAGATCCATTTCCACGAATATATAATTCAATCCATGATAATATAGTGGTTGCAAGAATTATTTGGCAGCCTGGTAGGGTGAGGCTATTGCAGTCAATAGCCTCACACCATCAGGCTGCTGAACAATTCTTCCGACTCCCATTCTGAAGAACATTGTTGCCTCAATCTATAGGTCTCCTAAAAAAAAAAAGGACATTTTGTTGGATTTTTTCCTACTAAACACAGAATCTTTGTACGGTATCATTTTCACTCTTCAATCTCTCCAAACCATTATGAAGCTGTAGCAAAAGTACAATAAATATCTCAATGTGGGAATTGATAGTGGAATAGGATTTAATTGTTTAGATTCTGCCTGCCACACATCTGTTAAAGATAAAGTGTCTTGGAACCCAAGTCCAACTGTTCAGAGTTGAGGAATGTGTATCTATGTGTACAAACACACACGTATACTATGAAGGGAGTTTTAGAAGACTCAGTCTTCCAAGGATGATCAGGTGTGCAACATTCATTTCATCCTTTTGGAGTATCTCTCTAATCAGCCACTAAAGTGCAATTAAGAGATACCAAATGAGGAACAAAAAAGAGGCAGTTTCTGTGTCATGCTGTACTTATCAGTTATGGCGAATGTCTCTGTGCATGGCTGTATCCTAATTTTTTAATACCCAGTTTTTACAGCCATCATGATCTGGAATTGAGCTGTCTTGATGGTTTATGACCCTGAAAACATTTAATGTTTTATACTCACCAACCACGACTGGAAGCACCTTCATGGCCTTCCTTTCCCTGCCATTGATTTTGGCTGGCTTCCTACCGAGTTCTCCATTTGGTGCATATTTGATGTGTGGATAGGACATAGTTTGAATGCCACTGTAATCCCTGGGTAAAGTGCAATCAGAGCAGGCATAGGGGCTGAGTTCCCCTGCCTTGATATCTTCCTGGTTTTTCTCAATGACAGGTGTTGAGCCATATACCTGCCTATTGCCCAAATAAATACTACTCTTCAGCTTGGCTTTCCGAGTCTCTTCCCAGCGCCTAAGTCCATGGAATATGCCGCAGTACAGGACCAGCATGACAGGACAAGGAATGAAGAAGGAACAGATGGAGGAATATACAATATAATTGTGATCCTCCAGACGACATAAAGATGGGTCCCGGTCTGGAACGTTGTTGAGGCCAAAGATAATTGGGGCTGCCACAGCAAAAGCAAAGATCCAAGTGGTAGAGAGGAGGATCAGCTGACGCAGGTCAATCTGTCGTCGATTATAGTTCAGTGGGACAGAGACAGCAATGAACCTGGATGACAGAAAACAGGGTGTCACCATGGGGTTCCTTGTGGAACCAGTTTACTTCACGATGGTAAAGCAAAACAAACTCTAAGCTAGAAGATGGAGCTGGGCAATATATGTTTCGGGTGTTACTGGGTTGAAATTCCCATTTTGTCTCTCATAGTGCCCATTCATTAATTAGGAAATGCAGCATTATTGTCTAGCTATGCCACCACAAGGCAAACACAAAATATTCTTTTACCCCTATTTCTCCATTCTGAAATATCATTTCCCTGCACAAGTTCTTTGCTCATCCAATTACCTTTGGCAATTACCAATTACCCTTGCCAATTATCAATTATGCTTGCCTGTTGTATGGAACATTTATTCTCCTCATAATGGCTCCATGATATTGCTTCTCTCCCTTCAATCAATCCATACTGTTGGTAAAAGACAGTTGCAACTAAATTGACAAACACGTTCTAAAAACTAGGCCTCTCCATAAGAAAATGGGTTCTAATTTAATAGGTCTCAACCTTAATTATTTAGCATTTACATTTGCCTTTATAAAAGTCAGCAGAGTGTGTCAATCAAAATATTCCTGTATGACCACTCTTTTTTTAAACAAGGCAGAATTAGGAAAAAAGAACCAGTATTTGCCATTTTCTTGGATGAGAGAAAAAAAAGGACCTAACTTTTGAATATTTTTATATATTCAACCTGCATGAGTCAAATCGCTTTAACATGGTATAATACCATACTTATAAACTCTGAGCTAATAAAAGAAAATCTGACCTGGTGAGATGAAAACTTGTTGGTTAAAAATCAAGAAACATATGATAATTCCCTAAAATTTGAGCTGGAAAACTCTTTCTGTCCATTAAATATATCTATCTTATTTCCCTGCTTTGTATATCAATTTCTATTCAGAGTCTATGGTCTTGTATTTTGGATTATTTTTCCAAATCAAATGCAGCAAATATTGCTATCAGCTGAAAGGCCTTGCTGTGCAGCCAGGTGAAGTTGTAAATATCAATAGTCCCCAAAAGTCAGGGTAAAGTCATTTCTTTCAAATGCACAGTAAACTTTCTGCTAGTCCAATGCAGTGCTCCTATTTTTATTCTTCTTTTTCCTTCACGCAGACTGGCTGTTATATATGCAAAATTGTTTAAAAGTATTTGTGTGTGTCATCAGCACTCTTTCACGGTTAACATTCAAGATGTGAAATTTGGGGACAATGGAGCAGATGGTGGTATAAAGTGCAGGAGAAATGCACAAGTTCCTATCCAGAGCAGGACATTTTTAGCATGTGGAAGAATACATTCAGAAGAGGTTTTGATTGAATTGATTGCCATGGCTCCAAGTACTTTTATCCCTGTACCACAAATGAGTATATGAATCACAAATGGGGCAATATCTTTATTAAAGATAGTGTGTGTGCTGGGGAGAGGGAATTCATTATCTTTATGCAAACAACTGAATGATCAATAGATATCAATAAGGTGAAAACACTTTCATTTCATTTAGAGCTTATTTGGATTTTTGAAACTCGGATATGGTTGTCCAAAGTAAAGTTTCCTTTAAACCAAGCTCAATTCTTGAATAATTTCAAGAATGATAATGTCTCTCTGTGGCTTTCTTGGGAATAAAATAGAAATGTTTTTTTCTCCTGAGATATGCTTTTATCTTCCAAAATCTACAGGGTGACAAGATGTTTTCACCTTCTAGTCTACAGCAGCTTTCCTAGAGCTCTCTAATTCAAGGACTAACTAGGCCAGGGGTAGGCAACCTTGACTCTTTTATGACTCGTGGACTTCAACTCCCAGAATTCCTGAGTCAGCCATGCTGAAGTCCACGAGTCATAAAAGAGCCAAGGTTGCCTACCCCTGAACTAGGCTCAGCTCTGTCCTTCTTCCTGAGATCACTGAAATGGGCATGAATATTTGTGTTCACCAGAACACTTCATCAGGGAAGTGGTTATAAAAAGTAGAAGAAGCAGAGGAAACAGCAGAGTCCAAAAATTAAGACAGATATTTCAGGTCTGTGAGTTAAAATCAATCTCAAGACAGACTGTGTGGTATCAATGCTTTAGTGAATTAACAGTGTTATAACAAGCATTTGGAGACCAAAAAAAAAGAGTTCCCCCTACAGGTTTGAAAACACAAAGGCCATTAACCCTAAACTTATCTTTTGTCTTGGGCAAAGCGCAGGTCTAACCAAAAAGGCAGATGCCTGGGGAAGTCATCTGAACAGGATAATCCCCCCCCCCTCATTTAAAATGTCAATACATATCAGCAGTTTCTTGGTTGGTAGCCACAGAAAAAAAAGAATTGTCTCTGCAGCTTTCTTAGTTTTAATTCAAAACCATTTTGAAAATTGGCTGAAAGCAACCATCATTGAGAGTGATAACTACAATGGTCTTTGGCTGGTACGGGTAAGACAGCTTATGTTCTGTTCTTTCAGCTACTGTCCATAGTTCATAGAGAAAAAAATACTTTCCCCCTTCTTTGCTCAACAGTGACAGCATGAAAACATTACAGAAGAAGTGATGTTCAGATTTTCTTGGAATAGAAACAGCTTTTTCTGATTAGCTGGACAACGGGGGGGGGGGAGTTGATGGGGTTCCTAACGGCTGATAGGATAAAACAAAATAGCCAGAAGCAACATAAACAATAAACCACCTATGTTTCCTAGAGCTTCTCAGTATCATTCTTGCCTTTATTTGGTAGGCACTGAGGTCTTTCCGATAAGAAAATCCCAACTGCAATTATTGTAAGAATTAGTTCTTCAGCTTCTGTTAATGAGAAGGGGGTTGATCATATCTGAATTGCCTTTCCTGAATAGAATATTGCTTTATAGACCACAAAAAGCTTGCCTTGATGAAGTAGTGGGTGTTTTAGGGGAGAGCATTGTTCTATCTACATGTTCAGTCAACAGACCTAAATTATATATTATAGACAAAAATGAATTATTAGAACAAAGATATTCTTCCGTCTGCAAACTCTGAATTTTACAATTCACTTTACAATATCCCACATACATCTGCTAGAGAAATGGATGTTTAGATATATAACTATACATTTGTAAAGAAAACTGGAAAAAAGATGTATGTCGATTAGAGAATTCAATGCATTTTTATAGATTTTAAGGCCAGAATGTACAAAACAAATACATAGTAAATTTTCACAGAATGGATACTTATCTATCCACACCTACTATAGATGCTGAATGAGATACAAATGAGAAGCTCGCAGTCCCTATAGTTGGCAGCATTAAACTTATGTTTCCTCTGTTTCTTCTAAAGAACCCTCCTAGAGTTGCTTCAGTGGCTGTGGCAGCTAAAAAGCTGATTAAATAAATATGTGTGTACATATGTATGTGTGTATGTATGTATGTATGTATGTATGTGTGTATGTATGTATGTATATATATATATGTATGTATGTGTATATATATATATATATATATATATATATATATATATATATATATATATATATATATAAAACTGTGCGTGTGTGTATATATGTATGTACAGTTAGAACAATTAACCAGTGGAACAACCTGCCTCCAGAAGCAATGAATGCTCCAACACAAGACGTTTTTAAGAAGAAACTGGACAACCATTTGTCCGAAATGGTATATGGTTTCCTGCCTGAGCAGGGGGTTGGACTAGATGACCTCCAAGGTCCCTTCCAACTTTTTTATTACTATTATTACTACTACTACTACTACTACTACTACTACTACATGTATTAGAACTGAAAGAGTCGTGAAGTTTAGCATCTAAAAGCCATAATGACCAAAGTTTCTTACCGATCCACGCTGATAGCACAGAGGTTGAAAATGGAGGCAGTGCATAGCATAACGTCCATGGTCATCAAGCCATCGCACAGGACCGGGCCCAAAGACCAAGCACCTCCCTGGAACTGAAGAAAAATCAGTGAATGCATTCCAAGTTCGTACTTAAGGGTTCCCTTCCCTGTATTCTTTAGGCAACTGAACTACTTCCACATGACTTGCCTTCGTAGAATTCTGAGGATCCGGTGGCAGGGTAAGATACCAGACACAGATGTCCTCTCCAGAGCAGGCTTATTATCAATTTACACTCTGTTGATGAAAGCCCAGATGCGCTGGGCAGGCCATGTTGTAAGGATGCCAGATCATCGCATCCCTAAACAGCTCTTCTATGGTGAGCTGTCCCAAGGAAAACGATCCCACGGGGGACAAAAGAAGCGATACAAAGACACGCTGAAAGCCTCTCTTAAGTCCCTGGATATTAACACCATCTCTTGGGAACTTCTGGCGCATGATCGACTGACATGACGCACCTTGGTGTGCCAGGGTTGCCAGACATATGAACACAGAAGAGCAATCTTGGCACAAGAGAAGCGAGCACTCCGCAAAGCCAGAGCTGTAAATGCTGAAGTAACAGTGTCTACATTTCTTTGTTCAGTATGTGGCAGAACATTCCGTGCTAACATCGGTCTTATCAGCCACCTACGGACACATCATTGATGGCCCATAATCTACAAGATGTCAAGGTCCTCATCAAAATCGATGGACGAACAACAATCTTTAGCTACAATTCTAGTTGGACTCTCAGGATGTCCCTGACACTTTTCTTTGAGAAGATCCTCTTCAATGGCTGACACTATCAAGGAAGTTGCCAGGTTGCAATCAGGCATTCATAGTTGTAGCTTTAAAACCAGCAATCAAGCGATAGTGGTGGGTGAAATAGCTGCATCTCCTCCCACACATTCCTGTCTCAATGCAATCATTCAGCCTTCTTTGTTGCTATACATCATAGGAGGAGGCTTACATACTGAAACAAATGAGGGAAGGAAAGAGACAGACGAAGGAAGCAGGGGTGAAAAAAAACTTCACCAAATTTGAAAATCAAATATCCAGGATGTGGTTTCGTAACCACATTCTGGATATTCCTGGACTACAAATCACTGTGGGTATCAAGTGTTGTAACTCTGAAGGAGAAAGATTTCTCCAGAGGAGAGACACACAAAGCCAGTACAGAGATAGCTAAGCCATTTGTTTTTATCAGCAGCAACGGCAGCACACCTTTACAACCAATAGTAAATACCAAATCCCTTCATGATAAAAGCATTCTAGAATCTTCCATTATTATTGTAATATACGCTGATAGCTCTTCTATCTGTTTGTAAAATCTTGGATTATTATTAGGAAGAAAGTAAACCACAAAGCCCTGTGCTAATATCACTTGATCCTCACCCTGTTGGTGCTATAAATATCACCTAGGAATGATGTCAAGAGAAGTGGCTTATTTACACCTTATAAACTGTAGCTTCATCATTCCTTAATTTTCAATCTGATTGAGGGGTCAGGCTAGGAGAGGGCAAATGCCTCCATATAAGCACTCAGTAACTGCTTGAAGATTATCCAGCTGTGACCTGGGAAGAGCAACTTTTTAAAAAAAAAAATTAAAAGACTTAATTAAGTAGAGTGAGATAGCTGTCAAAATTTGCTTCTTACTTCATTTCTGACAGCTTACACAAGCCACAATGGGTTGTAATACTAACGATAATAATAATGTCAAGCAATTTAACAGCATACTGCAAGGAGGTGAAACTGAAGATTGGTTAACATCTGGCAAAAGCTACTTGATAATAAAAGATCCAACAAAGGGGGCAGCACCAGGCAATTAGAGGCCAATTACTTCCTTACCAACAACTTTCAAATTGCTAATTGATAATTACATGACCAGGCCAACGAGCAAGGCATGGAGGTGCTAGTGCAAAGGAAGGCGAGCGGAAGCCCCAGCAGCAAAAAGTGCCGCTGAAAAGAGCGGAGTCTCTGTGTGTACCTGCTACAAGTTCAGCTATCAGCCATGCTCTCCATGCCTCTGTCACAGTGGTTCTCAACCTTTTTAATGCCGCGACCTCCAACCGGTCGTAAATCGAGGACTTTCCCTGCCCGGGAGCGCCGCGCATGCATGGTGCTGTCCCCTGCGCCGGCCGAAGCGTAGCTGGCAAGGGGCAGTGACGGCACAGGGCAACCACCGGCTGGGCCACCAGCTGGCCCAGCCCAAGGGAGGTAAGGCACCCGCCGGGCCCCACACGCGCCAGCAACCCTCCCTGCGCCTGCCGGCCTCCCACCTCCCACCCCTGGCCCTCTTTTTAGTAGTTGCTCAGCAGGGAGGGCTGGAAACTTCCACACAGCTTGCCTTCGCTGCAGACAACTTGCAGCACTGTTTAAGAATGGGACTTTTGGCGGGCTCAGCAGGGCAGAGACAGCCTGGACAATTCCTATTGGCTTTTGAAAGCCAATAGAATTAGACTCTATTCAAGAGAGTCTAATCTATTGGCTTTCAAAAGCCAATAGAATAAAAGGGAGTAGCACAGCTAAGGAAAAGGGGGAAAAAATGGCGGACTGCATTGTTTGGCAACCTCCGTGAAATGGTCGTTCGACCCCAAATGGGGTCACGACCCATAGGTTGAGAACCGCTGCTCTATCAGCTGTAGCATGCCATGGAGTGCGTGGCTGACGTGGGCAAAACAGGCGCACACACAGATTCTGCTGTTTTCAGCAGCACTTTAGTGCCTGGCCCAGCAAAGTGGAGCCAGGCATGGTGAGGTGAGGCCCAGCAAAGCAGAGCCAGATGGGGAGAGGCTCAGTAAAGTGGGGTGTGGCCGGGTGTGACAGGGTGAGGCCAGGAGGGGTGGGACGAGACCGGGAGGGGCGGGATGGGCTGAGGCAAATGAGCTGCAACTGCTGCTGTGCACTATCGCCCCTGAGCGCTCACCGTTTCCTGTGCGTTGGCCAGGAGGGTGCCCAGCCGGGTTGGGGTGGGCCAGGGCTGAGGCAGCGGGGGCCAGTCCCTTGCCACTTCTGGAATAGCTCCAGGGGCCAAATCTGGGCCCTTGGTGGGCCGCACCCAGCCTGCAGGCCTTGTGTTTGACATGTTTGGACTAGATCATTTTGGAAAACTGAAAGGAAGAGCAACCTAAATATAGGTTGGATTGATTACAAAAGGACATTCAATTCTCTGCTACATGATTGGACGATTAAGTGCCCAGAAATAAAAGGCGTCAGTAGAAACATCAGAAGCTTTGTGCCAAGATCAATGGCACAATGGAAGGCATAATTGCTTGCTGTTCAATGGTGACAGACTAGGAGAGGTTAATATCAAGGGAGGAATCTTTCAAGGAGACTCACTATCACCACTATTGTTTGTCATTGTTCTGATTCCTCTTTCAACAATACTGAAAAAATCAAGGTATGGCTATCAAACATCCTTTACATGGATGATCTAAAGAAAAATATCTGAAATAGAACTGCTGCTGCTCAACCCTGTCTGTAAATACAGCCTAGATACTGCAGTGGAGTTTGGACTGGACAAATGTGCCTGCCTTACCATCAATAGGGCAAAAGTAATGAAAACTGAGGGAAGCAAGATGCTATATGGAAATAACATCAAGAGTTTGTTTGGATGAAGATGATCAAATACCTGGGCATCCTTCAAACTGAAAACATCCAGCTGACTGAAGTTATGAAGAAGCTTAGAAGTGAATACATCATGAGACTAAAAAAAGATCCTAAAGTCCAAACTCGGTGAAAGAAATGCCATCAAGGCAATTAACCCTGGATAATCTGAGTCATTAGATACACAGCTGGAATAAAGGACTGGACTCACGCAGAACTAAAGGTTCTGAATAGTAAAACCAGAAAAATAATGGCAATGAATCCTGCCCTTCATCCACAAAGCAATGTTGACATATTCTACTAAGCAAGGAAAATGGGTGGGCATGGAATCTTCTAAATACACAGAACAGTTAAGAAGAAAAAAGGGCATTGGAAGAATATTTGAAGGATAGTGAAAATGATGCACTGAACTTAGTATTGAAGGCTTATGAACAGAGGAAAGACCAAACATTTGGTCTACAAAAAAGATAAAATGAAGAATAATATAGAAATATGGGAAGGCAAAGTATTACATGGCCAATACATAGAAAAACTAATAGGCAAAGCAGATAACAAGACCTGGCGATGGCTAAGAACAAGAAAGTTGAAGAAAGACAGAGAGGCTAATTCTTGCTGCACAAGGAAGGGGGAAGTGAAGAGATGAGAGGGGGATGCGGTCTGGGGGGAAATGAGTGAGCAATGTCGGAATTTGTGTTGTATTTTAACTTCTTATGTATCTGAATTTTTCTTCTTATGATTGTAATGAAAATAAAATAATAAAAATTGAAATAAAAAAAAATAAACAATACAAAAAAAAAAAGATCAAGCCTGAATAACAAATGCATACAAAGCCAGAATTGAGGCAATAAAAAATGAAAGCAAATGCTGCCTCTCAAAGAAGCTGAATAAACAGTGGACATCTAATTATCTGCTGCAAGAAGAACTCACAGACTGACTACAAACAATGGCATGATAAAGTAGCAACAATGATACATTTGGAATATCTGCAAGAAATACCACTTGTCTGCAAGCAAAACTGATGGGAACACAAAGTAATAGAATACGAAGAAGTTAAAGTACTCTGGGGCTTTATAATTCAAACAGACCACACCGCAGACTTAATAATGATCAATAAGAAAGACAAGAAAATCTGGATAGTGGACATTGCAATACCTGGAGATAGAATAGAAGAGAATGAACTGGAGAAAATCACAAAATACAAAGTCCTGCTAATAGAAATAAAACCACTGTGGCAAAAGAAAGCAAAAATAGTATCAATGGTAATAGTTGCCTTAGATGCAACCCCCAAATATCTGGAGCACCACTTGAACATCATTGACATTAACAAAATCACCATCAATCAATTGCAAAAGGCAGCTTTACTTGGAATAACTTACATCCTGCAACAATATCTTTAACATTATGAAGCAACATCTGCCTATCCTAATCATTGGGTAGTTCGTGGAATACCAGCGATACAGGTTAAAATGTC